TTGCATTTTCTAAAGCAACACCTAAAGTTAATGTACCATCTTCACCAATTTAATTTAGACTTTTTAAATATAAGAATTAATATTTAATTTATTAATTTTTTAGTAAGTTGGTTAAAATTAAAAAAAAATATAATAAAATAATAAGGAGTGAATTAATAATAAAAACAAATATTGTAAATAAAAAATGAGTTAAATAAAAAGAACAAAAAAAGACCAACAAAATTAAAAAGAAAAAATAAATAAATAAAATAAAATCTAATAAATAAATAAATAAAAAAGATTTATTCTATTCTTTTATTTTCATTTATTTTTAAAAAAATATCGCAATCAAAAACAAATAAACTTTTTTACTTAAGATCAAGTGTCAAATTTTAGATTTTAGTGCAATTTGATAAAGCAGGACATAAGAATGTTGCGCCAAGTGCACCAATTTTATTGCTCCTTTGAAATATAGATGAAAAATTAAAAATTAATTAGCTATTTAGCTTGAAAAAATGAGTAAGAAAAGAATGAATTAATAATAAAAGCAAAAGTAGAAAATGAAAAAATGAGTTATTAACAAAGAAAGAAAAAACACAAATAGAATAAAATAGAAAAATAAAAATAAGCTAAATAATAAGCTAATAAATAAATAAATTAATTAAAAGAGTTAGTTATAATATTTTAAATTCATTTTTATATTAAAAATGTCAAAACGTCACAATCCAAAACAATAAAACTATTTTTACCCAAGATAAAGTGCCAAATTTGAAAGATTAGTGCATTATAAAATACAAGAAGCTAAAAATGTTGCATTTTAATCACCAATTTATTATCCACTGTTTAATATTGAAGAAAATATAAATTATTTGAAAATTAAATAAATAAAAAAATATTAATAATAATAATAAATTAAATATACATCAGATTAATATGGAGATCCTTATGTGATTAAAGTGAAGAGTTAAAAAACTTTTTTATTAATAAAAATTAAATTTAAATAATATTCACAAAAAATTAATTAATTACCTTATTTATATTATTGAAAGTATTCTATTACATCATTTTTTTATTTTTATTTTAAAAAAATAGAATAGCAATTTATGGAAATTTAATTAATTATTAGTATTTATAATTCAGATATTAAAATGTAATAGAATGTATAGAATTATATTTAATAGCTGGATTGATACTTGAATAAACTTTAGTTTAAAATAAAAAAAATTGAAAAAATATTTATGAAAAAATAAGTAAATGAACTAATAAATAAAATTCATAAATAAATATTATATAATATAAATAGTAAATAGTGCTCCATGTTTTAAAATTCTGCTAATTAAAAATATATTATTAGCAGGAATTAAGACACTAACCATAAAATATAACTTATGATTCCATGGACCTATTGCTCCATTTTCTATTATATGTGTCTGTTTATTCAATAAAATTAAATTAAATTACTTTTTGAAGTTAATAAAATTGAAAATAAATAATTTTTTAATTAAATTCAGTTTATTAATTCTAAACTAATTGATAATCACTTTTAATTTTTTGATAAATAAAAAAGTGGATGGATATACTTATTGACTTAGATAAAAATATTCAGTTTGTTTGTTTTAAGAATTTGTAAGATTAAGAATAATATTTTATTCTTAATAATAAATTATTTTAATAAATAAAAGCTTAATAAATAATAAAATAATCATTTATAGTTTAATTATTCCTAAATTGGTAAAAAATAAATATAATAATGCTTACAAAATACATAAGAACTTTATATATTAAAATGAAGTTCTATCTATTGAAATATGCTAAAATATTGTTTTTCCGTCCATAAATTTTCACATAGATTCAAGAAAATACAAACATAGAACAAATTAATAAATGTAAGATAAAAAAACTAAACATAAAATGAAAAGTTTCTACTGATTGATTTTTATAAAAAATAAGAATATTTAATATATAAGTTAATTTTATTAGAACTAAATTTTTAAATAAATTTATTATAAAATATGAAAAGATTAAGGTTAAACAAAAAAATATTAAAAAACTTAAGGTAAAAATAATACCACTTATATATATGATCTGCAGATAGATAACTTTAATATAATAAAATATAAATAAATCTATCTGATGAATAAATATATAATATTAGAAATTAAAGTTCAACGAACAAAATAAATTACTTAACATATAATCACTCAGTGAATTAATAGGTATATTAAGTTGGTTTTGAAATAATTAAACTAAAATAAAGAATACTAAAAATTTTATATTTATTTGTAAGCAAATTAAATTATTAAATAAATCAAAATATACATATAATAAATAATAATATCATTTTCAATTTAATTTATTTTTGGAAATATTAAAATAAAAAATGCAGTAAAATATGTTTTATGCTATTTGCTAAAGGTTTTACCTCATTTATATGGGCAGTTAAAAAAATATATTTAGTATTTAAGTTTCATATTTATCTATTCAAAATGTTTATTGTAAATTATTTTAAATTTGACAATCAAAAATATTTAAATAAAAAATAATAATATTAGATAATAAATGTTTCATCCTATTATAAATGTAAATTTCAGAAAGGATTGTTAAATAAGAAATAGGGTAAGTATTTTTATGTATTCAGTAATTAAAATACTTATAAATTTTTTTGAATTTTTTATGAATTAATAGCTATCTAAGAAATAGCTAATTTTGGGTTTTGTATAATTTAAAACCTCTTCAGTAAATTTAAATACTTTTAAAAATAGTACGAAAAATGTACTAAGTTAAAAATCTATTCTTTTATTTTTAAGAGAATAAAATTTTATTCAGCATGAAGTGAGTGAATGAATGAATGAACTAATTGATTAATATGTGTGTGGATCATGTTTCTTTGAAAAATCAATAAATGTAATAGCAAATTAATATACTAGTTTTTGTGCCTAGTGTAATTATTCTTGAAATCTAAATTTAATTAAGAAAACTAATTTTTTTATTGTGATGAGTAGTGGAATGCTTGGTTGGTTTAATGATTAATTTATTTTTGGGTTAGTTTTTTTGTTGCAGTATTAATTGTTAGTTCTATTATTACTAAATGAAAAGAATGCAACAATCAATAAAGCAAGCAAACAAACAAATAAACAAAATAATAGATAGATAGATAATCAGAAATAAAAACCTTTAAAGTTAATTTATTATCAAATTTTGTGAAAAAAACTTAGATAAAGAGTAGAGTTTGTAAAAATTAATTCAATTTTTTATTAGTCGTGAAAGAAGAAGAATAAGAGTTTTAAAAGAATCAATCAATCAATTAAGCAAGCAAGCAAACAATTAATTAATTAATTATTAAATAAAGCAAGAAAGAGTAGAAGAAGTTAGTTAGTTAGTACAGTAAAAAAAGTAAATAGAGAAGGGTATAATTTCAAAGCCGCTAGTACAAAAAAGTAAGCAATTCTTTAAGGAGATATTGAATAAATGGGTACTTGCTGCGGTTATGTGAATCAGAAGTAAGATCGAGAAAAAACGGTCTACACAGGCGGAAGTAATCGGGAAAGAGAGATCTAAGATGTATTAGATAAGTTAAATGAAGAAAATTAAAACGAGACGCGCTTGCATCCTTAAGACAAAATGGATGACTAAGGAGAGACTAGTTCTCAGCGGTCATTCTAATATGGGAGCATGCTTTAAAATAATATATAATCAATGATTCAAAATCATGGAACGATGGAGCAAGACGAAAACGAGAAATATAAAAAAGAGCCATTCTATGGAGCAGAAGCAGTAATATTAAAACAAAATTTAACAATTAGCTATTTTAAATCCGTGAACATATTTTTACCATAGCACTCTAGATATTTTTGTTATTCAGAGTACTTTCAAAGGTGAGTAATGAATAACCATGAAAAAGAATACTTGATATTTTTAGCAATTTTGCATAATGCTTTCAAGCTGTCAGTCAAGCAAACTTGCATACATACATAAATATAATTAAGGGATACAATTTCTAATTCGATGTCTCCCTTTAAATATTAATATTTTAACAAAGTGGTTAATAGCCTATAATTTATTGATTTTTTAATTAAAATAAATCAAAATGAATGATCAAATAAACTTGTGAGTTAATAATAAACAAAAATAAACAAAATAATTAATTCCTAATTAATTTATTTTTGATTATTTTTTATCTTGAGCTAATACAAAAAATCAAGCTTACCTATATTCATTTACACATACAACTTATCTGCATTCTTAATAAGAAATATAAAAATAAGTAGGCATTTTTGTTTTTAAATCCTAAGGTACCGCATTTCAGAATAAACAAATAATATTTTAAATTGAATTTTTAAAAATAAGGTAAAATTTAGCCAACTATCTATCCCTCTACATATTTAAAAAACTCTCCAAATTTTCCTCCAGAAATTAACTTACTTTTTTTTAAAAAATATATTTTTCTTTTCTTTAGAATTAAAACTATTAAGCAAAGAAATAAAAATTGATTGGAGTAAGGTTACGAATTCAAAGGCTAATAAATATTTAAATATGATTCTATTTTTTAAATCAAAGAAACATTTTAAAAATAGGAAAATTTAATTTAAAAATCAATAAATAAATATTTTAATTTGAAAGCATAGCATAAACTTATTTATTTAATTACTCACCTTTCTATCGCATTTATTTTCGCAAGGATTTTTTAAGAGAATGCTTTGATAATTATTATTGCATGTTTACTGGATAAATAAATTCAAATTTAATGAAGATGGTAAATAAATATTTTGTTTAAATAAATAAAAAGCTGGGAGAATATACTGCAATATAGACTTAAGAACTAAATTTGTAGAATATAGCAAATGAAGAAGTATTACCTGTATAAGCTGAGTAGATAGGTCTCGAAGTTAAAGAGCAAAAGAAGCTTATTGCGACTAATTCTAAGGAGCTAAAAGAGTTGGAGAAGAAAAAATCAGACTTAAATATCATAAAACAAGACACTCTCCAAGCTTTAAATCCTAATTAAAAAGATATATTGCTTAGGAGAGCAAGCCAATAATTTGAATAACAGCAATCCCTTTTAAAATAGTAGCAACAATAATTAATTTAGTAGCAATAGTTATTAGAAAAGTAGCATTTAATATAGTAATAGCTACAGTAATAATTGCTAGCTTAATAATAGTAACTACAATAAGTACAGTCAAAATAAGTTAATCCTCAGTAAGCAAATACAGCATAACAACCACAGTAATAAGTGGTAGTAACCTAACCTAATAGTAACGCTTAAGCTCAATAAGCATAATAAAATATAAATGATAAAAACTCTAATATGTAAAAGGCACAAATGAATTTGCCATAGCTTAAAAAACCGAATTCTTAGCCTGCTGCTTCTTAATCTCAGCCTAATTCACCTCTCATGAGCGCTAGAGGAAGAAAAGCAGAAAATGATGTTAATTCTTCATTTGACTCAGGCTCTGTAAAAAGTGTTGACAAACCGCGTTCTATAATGAAAAGAAGAAACAATAATGATCTGAACAGCTCATTTAATTCTGACGCTGATAGCTAAAAGAGTAAAGCAAAAAAGAAAGTCAAGTTCAAAGAAAGTGCTTTTAAAAAGACATCAAAAAAGAAGAAATCAGGAGTAAATAATTTTTAACTAATTAATCAAAATCAAATTTTAATATTTTTTATTTGTAATCAAAAAGTACTGAAAATAAATCAAGTAAATATAAATATAAATCACAAACAAGCGCTAACGCACTAAGATCGCTCAACCATCAACTCATCATTGCTTGATTAGTCTATTAGCTTTGCAGCTGTTGAATGGTGCTTGCTTATTTGCTTGCAGTGCTAATTGTTGACATAAAACAACTTCCATTTTTGCTAAAATTAAAATTCAAATAAAATTTAACATCTATACAAAACAAACTAATTTTTTGAAAAAACAAAAAAGTAATAGTACATTTCTTAATTTGCCAAAACTAAAACAAACTAAAAATAATAATAAATAATAATAAAAACAATAATACGGTAAAACCCAATCAACCAGTTATCATTCTCATTTGTAAAAGGACTAATAATAATCTTTACTTTTCTAACTTGTAAGTAATATCTCTCAACAATAAAAATAATAAATAAATAAATACATAAATAAATAAATTACTTCTTAAATACTGTTATAGTAAAGCAAATTTCCCAACCAATAAACAAATAAATAAATAAATAACCAATAAATAAATAAACCACTTTTATTTACAAAATGACTAAATAAATATACTAATTTAATTTATAAAATACACTTATACTTTCAAAATATACAAATACCCTAAAATTCTTATTATTTTATTCTTATGTCGATTGTTAAATTTGTTCATGCTCATTTTAAGATAATTATCTTTTTGAATCTGTAGAGATGTTTTTGTTTAATTTCTTCAATTTCTAATTCAATTACTCAAATTTAGAAAAGTAAGTTTAAAAATATAACAAAAACCAAATTTTTTAAAATTAGAGAAAATGTAAATTATCAGGTCAAAAAAATAATAATATGTAAAGCCTAGAACAATTAAAAGAAAATATTTATCTAATGATATTAATAAAACATTCTAAAATAAAATCCAATAGAAAAATAGGATTTTAAATAGGTAGCTATGAAATCCAAGTAAGTAATTGCTTTAGAATCTAAAGTATAAATAAAATAAATTGACAACCATGCCAACAAACACCGATGAATCTGTTTCAAATTTTTTGATATAGATTTCATTTTAGCTATAATTACCCATAATTCATTGAAACATAATAAATAACAGGTTTTTACAGAAGGCAAAATCAATTAAATTTTAGCTAGCTTCTGATAGTATTCTAAAAAAATATTGACTAAAAAAATAAATTGTAAGATAGGTATAAATTGATTGATAATAACCATTCATCAATAAAGATTAATTATTAAAGAAACTATTTAACCAAATCAATAAAAATTAGGTTTTTTATAATTAATTTGGTAAACCTCATTTTTTAAAAGAAAGAGAAGTAAGTATAAAATAAATAAATTAGTATTTAAAAAATAGATAAAATTCTTGCACATACTCTCAAAAATGATTTCTTTTTACTAAAAAAAAAAACAATTATTTCTTAAATAAATTTAAAAATTTAGTCCCTCCCTAACTATTAACATAATTATTGGCATCTAATCTTAATTATTTGTATGATACTTACAATACACATTTGTTTATTTTTAATATAGTTTTAGCTTTAAAATTTAAATTGCTTTTAAATAAATAAATAATTCTTAATTAATTTCTATCTTATTTATTAATAAATAATTCAATTTTTCTTTCTTCCTTTCAGAGTTTTTAAATCTTTACGAAATATGTAAAAAATATTGAAGATAATTCAAAATAAATAAATAAATATTTAAAAATTTAATAAATAATTACATAAAATAAACGCTCTACTTAACTATCTTTAAATATAATTTATAAGTGATCAAATATTAAATATTTTTTATTTATTTATTTTAGTATTTTTTAAATGTGTCATATTTGTGCAAGCTATTTTTTTGTTTGCTAATTTACTATTCTTGGCTCAGTAGCTATACCACATGTTCCTTGAGTATTTGAGCTATCAGATCTTAATAATCTGATATATCCCTTTTTTTTATAAAAAATAGCAGTTTAATATTCTAAAATAAATATTTAAAATATATTTTTCTTACCTTTTCTCCCCAGTTTTCTCCCCATGAATTTTTAAGTATCCAATACTGCTTCCCGTTTTCAGAACCATATCCAACTATTCCTAGGCAATGATCTGTATATTAAGGATCACATTCAAGTAATTTTTCATCAGCTATACCGCCTTTGTAGAATTTGAAATTTTATGAGGAACCTGAAATACAAGCAGATATCGGTTATCTTGAAACAGCTTCTTTGATTGCTAATTCGTTGTTTATAGGTATATTTTCGTATCCATCTGGACTGAAGACATTTTTTGATTAATCGTGATCACATTCCTTTCTAGTAATAGCTTAATAGGGATAATCTTAATTTTTCATAATTCCTTTTAAGACATTCATTACACAATCTAAGGCAGGTTCTGGATCACCTCCGTTACATCCATTGTTTTCAATTCTACAGCAGTCGATTAAATTTTGTTCACTAAATTTTATAACATTACCTAATTATAAAATAATTTATTTATTTTTTGCAAATTAAATAAAATAAAATAATTTAAATTAAAAAATTAATTTCTTAATAATGTAAAGAAATTTAGTCAAGATATAAAAAAGTGTGACATAGTTTCTTATTGGTAAAAAATAATATTGTTTTTTATATCATTAAATTTTTGTGATTCCTGATTATTCACCAAATATTTTTAAGTTAAAAAAGGGAAAATCTAGGAAAAAAAAATAATCTTAATCAATATCGTAATATTGAGTTATCTGATTAAAAAGTAAGTAAGTATTTTTTTAAATTTAACTCATAATTTTAATCAATTTTTTTAAAAAAAAATTAAAATATTCTCTGATGAAAGAAAAATACCTGTTTGCTTAGCATAAGCACCTTCCAAAGCTATAACTGTTGAAAATGCCCAACAACTTCCACATCCACCTATTTATTTTATTTTTATTTAAAAAATTCATAATTTTAAAATGATTTATTGATGTATTTAGAAATGTAAGCAATTTACATATTTTGTTTATATTTTTTTATATGATTGAATATTTGATACATTATTTTTTATTGTTAAAATTAATGTTTATATATAAATAATAATATCCAAGACTAGATTATTTCTTTAACAATAATAGATTCTATAATTAGAATTTAATATCGCAAGTCATAAAATTAAATTAAAAGAGAAATAGTATTTATTATTGATAAAAAAACACTAAAACATTATACCTTATTTTTAAACAGGGGCAACAAGCTTTTCTCTCCAATCTACAGATTCTGGAACAGAGTCACTTAGTAGAAAACTTTATCTTAAATTTTTAGTAGAACCGTTTTGCTGATTGTTGTGTTTCTTAGAAGAGTTATACCCAAAATAGAGCTCTCTAAATTCTTACAAACTCAAATCAGCAAACTCATTAACTTCAAGCTATATATTATCTTGGGAGTTTTCATTAATTTGGTTATAATTATGAATATAGTTATAATTTTCTGCAAATATTTAGAATCTATAATCTCCCTCAGAATCAGCGTATCTTTTTCTAAAAGTTTTCTTAAACTTTTAAAATTCTTTCATAATTGTTTCATTAATATCATTTTATGGTTAACTATTTTAATTATCTTGAACAGCAGTTTATGTTGGAGATATCAAGTTACTTTAACTTTTAATATAAAAGCTAAAAGTGAGCATAAATAAAAATATTATTACAGAATATAATTAAGTCTTTTCCATTAGCATTTATTATTTGCTTGCTTACTTACTTACTTATTATTTATTGATATATTTTTTTAATTTTTATTGATTTTTTTAATCAAATTTAATTTATCAAAATTAATTTGTAAGATAAATAAATAAATAGAAAGATAGAACAGTCAACTTCATCTAAATTTTTTTTTTTCTATGAAGTTTAAATTTACTTTTGCATTACTCCAAATATCTTCTGTAAATTTTAAAAGAATATTTTAAACCATGAAAGTTAATGTGATTTACTAAGATATTTAAAAGTATAAATATAATTTATAGTACTAAATCGATAGATAATTGCTTCTTTAATCAATTTTTTTTTAAGTGTATAAACATAAAAAAATCTATCTAAATATTTATCTATCCTTCTTATCATATTTTATAAATTTATTTAATTTTATAAATCATTAATGTTTTTAAATATAAAAAAATAACCATAGTTAATCAAGCAAATCAGCCTTTTAGTCTTATTCAACAATTATTTAGATGATTTTTATATTTTTTTGATATTTTATATTTATAAATAAATGTATGAAGGTTATGAGTATTTACCAAAAATAATTTGTATTATAAAAATTTAAATTACATATTAAATAAAATATGATTTTTGTAAAACTAATTTAAAATACAAATTTAATAAAAAATAAATATTTAATTCAATTTTTTATTAAGAGTTGTTTAAAAAATGGAATTTATTAGTATTAATTAAACAGTATGGGTTTTAATTTCTAAAACCTATGAAGTGTTTCTATCTATCTATATATCTATCAATAAATAAATAAATATCTAGTATTTAAATAAATAATTTAATATATTGATTAAATTATGTTTTTTCAGTTTTAAAAATATTTTCCAAACAAATCTAAAGATAGCTCTTATTTTTAAGAACATTTTTTTGTTGTAATTATAATATTTTTGGTTTTTTCTTGAAGTTAATGTCTTATAAAACTAATAAATCTTAATAATGTTTAAAATTCATTGAATTTTTAATATTCTATTATTAAAAATTTCTTCATTATTTAAATCTCTATTAATTCATTAAATCGTTAAATCTCATTTTTATTATTAATATTTTTTTAAAATTTTTTTATTGATTTGAAGAAAATTCTTAATATTTTAATTTTATCTAATTTAGAGTAAGTTGATAGATAGATAGATAGATAGATAGATAGATAGATAGATAGATAGATAGCTCAATTAATTTTTATTAAAGTTCTATGAAAATTAATTATATTTCAAAATTAATAATTTGAGAAATAATTTTATGATAATTTTTCTTAAACTTTAAATTTTATGATGATTAATTTGTACTTGATGTAAAAAATTTGTAATTAAATTATTTTAATTTATTTAAACAAGAGTGTTGCAAATCTTTATAAAATAAGTAATTGCTTGATAAAAATTGTATATTAAATTAATTAAACTCTCTCTCCTATTTTTAAAATAAAAAAGCTTAGCATTAATTGCTTAAAAATATTAATAGAAGGACACATTTTAATTTATTAGATATTTATAAATTTAGTTGGATTTATGCAGCAGAGATCCAGTTAACCTGAAATATTTAACTATTGTCCCTATGATGGGTATAAATTTACTACAACAGATACTTCTTGCTTACTTTGCAAAAGAGTTAGAGGAAATATGACAGTAATTATTGAATATTCTACTATATTAATAGCTAGAAAACCCATGAGTGACTAACTAATCGTTAATTTAAAAAGAAATAAATCGATCCACCAAAAAAGGCAGCTAAGAAATGGAGCAAAGTACTTTACGAGCAGAGAGGACATGAAGATAACTATTTTGATGAAACATTTCTAAGTTCTCTTGTGCAAAAAAGTATGAATTTATTAATCATACATAATAAATTATTTTGAAATTCAAACAAAGTTTTTGAGCAAATTGAGAGAGATATTTATCTTTCAGTACTTTAAAATTATTTTTCTTAAAATAAATAGACAATAGAAGCAATATACAATTACGAGAGGTAATCGAAAAAACTTTAGATGTGACTTGGGCAATAAATTTAGTTGCAATATTTCTGCTGATTTTTCACTACATGAAATCTAGCATTCTCTCTGAAGGCGTTTTGATTTCAGTTGTATTCATTTCAAGCATGGTTTGCACTTTCCTCTACATAATCATATCAAAAAATATCATAAAGACATAAACTATTTTCAAAAACATAAAGAGAACATTATTTTTGGTTTGTGCTCTTTTTTTCTTGTCTCCAATAATGAAAACAGTAAACGAAACATACGCAGACAACACTACCTATGCACTCTCTATAGGTGATAATATAAAAATTACTAAAAAATGATTAAATTTCTATTGCATAATAAAAAAATTTGAATGGTTTAATAACGAATTATGTTTTTTAATCTAAAAGGCTTAATTATCTTCCATTTGATATTTAAAGACTATAGTGCTGAAAATACATGCAGGTAAATTTTAATTGAAATAAAACTCTATCAAACAAATAAAATGTTAATAAATGAAGTGTAAAAGATTGGAATTGTAATTCTTCAACTTTAGCAGCATATGCTTTTTCATCTTTTTTGGGATCAAGATTAAATAATGATTTTTAAGTATTTACTCTATTATTCAGCTTCTTGATGTAATTTAACTTAATCATAAAAGCCTTTGATATTAAAATTATTCTAATTAATAATTAGCTTGTTTTTCTACTCTTCCTTTTTTAAGAAAGAAGTCAAAGTAATATTTTATTGTAGAATAAAAATTGATATTCCGTTTTAATTTTATATTTTAAATAGGATTTTTCAACCACTTTATACAAGTCATGGAATTTCATTTCATCAGTTATTCTATTTTTTATGATTTTAAATGTCTCAAAAATCCTTGGATTTTTGTTTTTATTAGGGTAAATATTTATTTAGCATCTAAAATATTTAGATAGTCTAAACAACAAACTAATTAACATATTTTATATTTTAAAAAGTTAAATCTTTATAACTTTCATTTGTCCTATGTGGTTGATTTGGCTTTATTAATACAAAAGGTAATTAAAATTACTAAAATATCATTTAAATAAAGATTTTTTTTTATAGGACATTCCATGGACCTTGGGATTTACCAGAGGGTATCCAAGTAAAGGATTGAATAAATATATGAATAAAATTAAAGATATTTATTTATTTTATATAATACAATTAAATGTATTTTATGTGAAACATTTAACTTTTAAAATTATTTAAAAGTAAAATTTAGTTTATAAAATGTTTATACGAACATATTTATTAATTAATTTATTTCACTTCTTTACTCATTTATTTAATTAATTAATTACTCATGCTCCATATTTTGGTAGCTTTCCTAATTTAAAAGTTATCTCCCTAAAAAGGAATTCTGCATTTATGTGAGCAAAGCCTAGCTTATCAAGATTCTACTTTACAGAAGAAAAATTATCAAGTTTGTCTTATCTGCAACCGTTTTTATCATAAAAAACACTAAGAGAAGAAACTTTAGCAGCGTTTACAAATTCTTGATTTATTTTACCTTGATAGGTTTCCCAGGTTTAAACTGGTAAAATTTTAGAAATAATTGAAGCAGATTTTTCATTTTTTAAATTATTCAATCTGAATTAAGGATTCAAATAATCAGCAGTTTCCTCTTCAGATAAGAAAGGAGAAACTATCAAATTGATGAAAACCTAATTAGATTGCTATTCAAAGGTGGATACTTCTTAGGCAACAGAAGTCAACTACTTAAGACAATTTGATTTGAGAGAATAATCAATAATAATCAATTCAATATCACTTGTGTCTTCTCTTAATATTTTTGAAATTTCGCCATCATTATACTCAATTTAGGAATAATCAATCTTAACGCTATTAGCAAATGTTACAGTTTTTTGACTATTTGTTACTAAAAGAGTCTATAAGTTATTTGAAAACTCATGATAGTAATTTGGATTCTTAATGAATCTGATTTCGTTCTATTCTTCATCAAACTCAGATTCATTAATCACTTTTTTTTTATTTTCATCAAATTTTTAATGCTTATTTTCTGATGACTATTCATATGATTCACCTTCAAAAGAAAATAATGAGCTAAGATAAGTGAATGCTGATTTTTTATGCAACAAAAGCTAAGACGCTCCTACAGAAATGTAATTCTTAAACACCTCAATTTGGTCAAGCTAATTGGCAAGAATGCTCTTATCTTGTGGTAATTCTACGTGAAATATAATATACTTTGGCTTTTATGACATATGAATATAGTTTATTTATTAATTACTTCTTTACTTTAAATATCCAAAAAATATCTTTAACTAAAATAAAAAAAATATTTATAAAAACTCATCTTATTCATTTATTAATAAAAACATAAATAAAAATATTACTAATTTAGAGAATTTGTTTTATTAAAATTAAATAAATATTTCAAGATACTCACTCATCCTCTTCAACATTTTATTAAAAGTGTTCTTTATTAATCCAGCTATTTTAAATAACCTTAAAAAATTATTCTAGTTTTTTGACCTGTAAAAATCTTTCATAAAACCTTTTTTTTAATTTTATGATCTTCAATTTACATTTTTAAAAATATTTAGGTAATGAATTTTATAAACCTCAAAGGTTTTTTTATTTTTAATTTTATGGATTTATATCTCTAAGCTATTTCTGATCAGATAAGGTTTTTTTGAAAATTGATAAAACATTTGTAATTTCATTTTAAAAGCTAATATTTTAACTTTATTTAAATAATACAGTCAAACTTAAAAAGATAAAGCATTGCTACAACCTAATTATTAGGTTAATTAGTTTTATTGCTGAATATTTAAAAAATAAATGAAACTTTATTAATAGCTTACTATTTTTATTGCCCAATTTATTGATGCCCTCATAACACAAATTTAACAGTATCTAAAATTTATTTATTTATTTATCTTTTATCAAATTGAATGATATATCTGATTATAAATATTAAAAAAATTAAAATAAATTTAACTTTCATTTTTAATTTTTCCAGTTTATTTTATTAAAATAACTTCTTAAATATTAATTCTATAATTCAACAAAATAATTATGTGAATGCTCATTTATAATAAAGTAAATAAATATAATTAGTATACTTTTTCATGATTGTAATTTTTGTATATCTAAAACTATATAGAGAATAATATTAAGTCATTTGATTATTGTTTTAGTGCTTAATCTAATAAAAATTATTAGTAAATTTTTCATAGGATTTTAATAAGCAATTTGTTGTTTCAATAATATTTGAATATTAAACTGAATGAATATAGTATATTAATATAATCAATAATATCGAGTAGAATTAGTTGATCTTTCACAATTTATCACTTTTTATCCTTGAGTTAAATGCATATCGTTAATTTAGTATTTTTGTGAACGTTTATATGACGTAAACTACATTTAATTTTTTTTTTTGGATAAAGTTAATAACTAAAAATTAAAAGTATATTACTTGTTAATTGAGTAAAGTAAAAAGGCTTTCTAAATAGAAAGCTATTCAAAATTTTTGAATTTTTGGCCAATAAAGGAATTAGATTAATAAATAAATAAATGCTCATTATTGAGGTCTTAAAATTTTCATCATAGAATTTCTTTTTTCATGCTTATCTGAGGCTATATCTTAGACTTTATTTAAAAGATGATTTTTAAGTATTTAATTCAAAAGTAAAAAAATAAATACTCTCAGAATAGAGTTAGGCAACACATAGTTTTAATGTTTCTATGTCTTTCTTTAGACAAGCATTTTCGCATTATAATTGAGTTTTAGCTTCTAATAGAATTTTTTAACCTCTTTTCAAACAAGTTATTTGATCGTGACTGGCTAGGTTTTTTCTTTGTATAACATCTGTGCAGTCAGGACATATCAACTCTACTTCTTCACAGTTTTCTTCATGCTAAACAATCTATTTTTTATACATACTCTGTTTACAACCTTTGCATTATTCTATTTTGAAATCACAGCATTCTTAATGTCTAGCAAGATCCTTTAGTTTAAATTCTTGGTTACATAAATTGCATTTCTAAATATTGTATGGACATTCCTAAATATGAATGTTCATTTCTGCTCTAGTTAAAGTGATTTAGCATCCTTCGTTTTCGCACCCTAATTTTTTCATTTCACATATAAGGTCATGCTAAACCTCATTCATTCTCTTAATAGATCTCTCACACCATTTACATTTTAGCTAATAGTGAGGACAAATTTTCTCATGGTCAACCATTTCCTAATTAATATTGTAAATATTTTTTCATAATAATTTATAATACATTTTTCTTAAATTTATAAAAATATTTTGTAATTGATCAAGAATTAAATAAATAATTAAGAATAATTGAAAAATGGGTATTTATTTATTAGATAAAGTTAATAAGAAAAGATTTATATTATCAGTAAAAGATAATGGCAATAAATAAAATAGATAACTTATAATAAATAAACACCATTTTTGTGAATTAAGAAATGAATAACTCAAATTCTTCAAATTAACATTTAAGTTAGAATAGAAAAATATTTGTATGAAATGTAAAATATTTTGCTTGAGCAAATCAATTTTTATTTTTGTTGCAATATTACTTTGCGAATGGATTAGAAATCACAACCAATATTAGGACAATGTAGAGATTAATACAAGCATGTATTTTGATGCTTTAAAAGTGAATCATAATTTATAAATTCAGTGCAGCCACTACTTTGAGCATTGCAAATAAAGACAAGCTTAGAGAGGTTATTTGTAATTGATTTATCAACTTTCTTCAATTCAAATCTGTCTCTACAAGTTGGACAGGTAGAGTATTAATCAACCCAACGACTCAAGCAATCTCTACAGTAAATTTTACTGCAATGATTGCAACTTACTGGTTACCAGAGTATGTTATGGCAAATTTAACAGAAGTAATTATCTTTGTCAGCAAAGGTATCTATGAAATTCATGAATTCTTGCATATTCTTTAAATTGTTTTATTCTAGAGACTCAGGCCTTTCTTACACTTCTGCCATAGTGAAAATAGATGTATTTGCTTCTCTATATATTTTAATGTATTTCTGAGTTTGAGTGATTTAACTAACTCAGTTTGTTTAATTTGAAATAAAATAAATGTAAAGCTTAGAAAATACCTGTGAGGAATAACAAATCCTCTTTGTTGTTAAAATTACTGCTAAGTTGGAGTCTGGTTTAAAGATGGAAAAAGAGGAAAGTAATTCTAAGGTTAAATAATTGGTGGAGGAGGAAAACTTGCTCTCTGATGATTTATATTTAATTGTTGCTGTAAAATTACTTGCTAAGGTTAGATTTAATGCTGAGGAGAAAAATTATTCTAATAAAATGACTAAGGCTATGGCTAGGTTTGCGAGGGCTAACTAGGAGATCCATATTGATTTTGAATTTACCTTATTGGATTCATTTGAGTTGTTTATAATATTTAGTTATAAAAAAGTTTTCTTTTGTATTTTTTTGCGGATAATTAATTTTTCTGATTAAATTTCTTTAACCAATAACTAATTGTGATCAGTTTTTGATAAAATTTAAGTTATCATTTAATTTATAGTATTTTTAAAATTATTAAAATTGTCAGATAAATTGATAAGTTTTTTCAAAAAAGAATGATAAACTAATAAACTATTTTTTAAAATAATTATAAAATGCAATATTAAAGTTAATGTAATAACTTGTAGGTATTTTTAAATATACTCTAAACTATTCTGAACAAAATAAAATTTAAAGAATTAATTCATTCTTATAAAATATTCTCCTAAAAAATACATTAATACTTTAATATATGTTTCTTTTATTTCTAATTTTTCAATTAATTTCTAATTATTTCATGAAAGCTAAGAAATGTATTTTTTGCTGGTAAAAAAGATTCCCAAAATTTATTGCTTTTAAATAAATTTAAAAAGAATAAATTTCTTATAAAAAATAATATTATTTTAAAAAGTACGATCGATATACTACCAATCCCCAATTAATAAAGTATTATTTAATTAAAACAATAAAAAAATTATAATAAAGAATATTTTTTAGTTTTGACAATTTAAATAGATATTTATTTATTTGTTTGTTTATTTACCTTTTTATCTCTGTTATAAATCTCCCCTACCTAGATCAAAATGATGGGTGATGGTTTATTTAGTTTTATTCTTTAATTTTTTACTTAAATCTAATATACTTATTTTAGCTTATTTTTCACTATTTTTGATCTAATTTTTATATAAATATCATATTTTATCTATTAATTTTTTTGCTATATTTAAGTGAATTTATTCTTTTACCTTAATAGATCCTTTTAATTAGGTATTTCTGCTTGTTAAAAAAATAAAATTTATGATCTAATAAAAAAATTAATTTAAACAAAATAAAAAATAATTTTATATTGGTAAATTTATCAGAAACAAAAAAAATTAAATAATTCTAAAGTTTCATCATCTAGCACAAATAAAATATCTTAAATAAATAAAAAAATTATTTAGTATAACCTATTTAATAATCTTTAAGTGTAAAATATTACAGAAGCAAGCAAACAAACGAAATAATAAACAAATAAACATCATTTTGAAAATTTATTTTAAATTAAGTTTTTTTTAATTAAAAAAGTTAAAAAAATGTAACAAATCACAATATTTATTTATAATTTTTCCAAATTTACATAAATTTTTATCATTTAATCTAATTTTATTTGAAAAGATAGTTTTTTTAATTTGATTTAAATCTTGTTTTACAGAATTAATTTTAGGTAATACTTTGGTTCCATAAAAGATTTTCAAGTTTTACTCTTAATTTTAGTAAAAAACTAGTTTTACTAAATATTTTTAGGATCATTAACGATTATTAAAATCATATTTTTTATTAAATTTTTATAATTTTTGATAGCACTATTTAAACATTAATATTTTTTTCTATTATTTTTTAAATTTAATATTAAATTTTTACAATTTTGAATTTTTAAACCTACTTCACATGTTATTTTAAATAATATTTATGAAATTTAAAAATTAAATTGCAAAAGTAAATTTTAAATAATTTTTATGATAAAAATAACGACTTTTATAATCAATATTTTTATTTTTTATTGTAAGGTTAAAGTAAAAAATAGTTTCTATTTATGAGATAGCAAATTGAATGCTTGTGCAAAAAAGTGATTTGTTTTCTTAGGTTGAGTAAGTAAAAATTATAAGTATAATAGAGTAATTTAGATAAAAATATAGAAGATCAAAATCAACTAATTAGTTTTAATCCATAAAATATTAATTTCACACGTTCAAATTATTGATACATATTATCAAAAATATTAATTTATTTCAAATGATAACGAAATATTACAAAATTTAATCTTAATGTCAAATCTACAAACAATAGAATGATAGAAAAATCAAAGAAATTTCATTAGAAAACAAATTTTTTCACATTTAAATATAAATAAATAAATAAAATGTCTCAATTTTCAAAAATAGGTCTATTTGCATTTAAATTATCGATCGATCGATCAAACAAACAAATAATTTTGTTAATAAGTAAATGTAATTGTTTTTAAAACAAATAACTGTATTGAAGGTATTGTGTTGTGTTTGATTGCAAAAAAAAAAAAAATATACAATTAATTATCAAATTAATAAATTAATTAGTTAATAAATTATCAAATAACAAATAGAGAGAAACATCAAATAAATTAATAAAAAATAAAATAAACAAAACAAATAAACAAACTAAAAAATAATTAAAAGTTAACACATAAAATTACAAATACTTAAAGAAAGTATAAGTAAGTAAATAAAGTTAAATAGCAGTAGTATATCAATATTAGCCAACTCTAGGGATTTTATAATTTATAATAGATAAATAAAATTACTAAAAAGTATTTCGATTTAAGTTAAGCTTCAATAAAAATAGTAAAAGAAATAGAAAAAAATTTAAAATTAATAATATAGAAATGGACGCATAACCTCAACAAACAACTTAAAGAAAAGCTCCTGCAACAGAGGAGGACATTAGAAGAATGCTTTAAACTAAGGATTTTTATGAACTTCTTGGAGTTAGCAAAACTGCCACAGAAGAAGACATTAAAAAGTAATACAAAAAGCTCGCTTTAAGATTCCATCCTGATAAACTAAGGTTACCAGGTGCTTAAGATGTGTTTAAAAAAATAGCTTAGGCTTACGATTGTTTATCAAATCCTGATAAACGTGCTCACTATGATAGAACAGGTAGCGATTAGCCATAGCAATAGAGAGCTTATGAGCAATAATATTATGATGATATAGATCCTGCCGATATTTTTAGCGCTTTCTTCGGTCCTGGATTTGCATTTTAGTAAGGAGGATAGAGGCGCCATTATTAATACTATTCAACTAGAAGAGGCAGAGATTAAGAAGACAGAAATGGTTAAAATAATTAAAAAGGATTTAATTTAATGGGATTGCTTTAATTACTTCCTTTCTTTTTACTTATATTCTCTGGTGTCTTCAGTCAACTCTTTTAGGAATCTCCTCAATTCTCTCTTCATAAAAACTCCTCATTTAATATCTTGAAAAAAAGTGTTTTCTTAAATATTAACTATTTCGTTGATAGCTCCTTCGAAGATAAAGTAATGGAAGATATAGAGTACTTACCTTCATTTGAATATAAAGTAGAGCAAGAGTATCTCTCTAATTTGAATGCTAGTTGTTTAAATTAAGATGCAAAAAGAAGATAGTATGCTAATATGGCCAGAAATTCTTGGACTAAAAGAGATTAAAATTATTACTAGAATCTAAGCGAAAGAGTTGATATGTCTCCATGTGAGGAATTTCAGGAGTTAAGCTCAAAGCATGATATCAACAGATATTTTTGATTGTCTTAAATATTTATTTAGAGTAAAACAATAACGTATTTCAAATATATAAACATAATAAGTTAGTTAGTTATTAGTGTTAAATAAATAAATCAATAATTTTTAAATATGTCATCTATCATCTTTACTTACTTACTTCTTATAAATTTAAATTTTTATAAAAAGTAAATACATCTATCTCTATATAACAAATATCCATTTGATTTCAATAATATATTATTTTAAATATTATTTTAGTTAGATTAATCTTAAATAATCAAATAAATATATATGAGTATGCTTTGTTATTGTTTTCTAACTTTTCAGCCTTCAAGTCAAGTTAAAATCAAAATAATTTACAAAATTTTGAGCAGATATTAGAAATATTTATGAGATTGTAAAATAAATTAATAATTTGTGTATGAATACTTTATTTTTAGATTTTAAGAATATTATTAAAAATTCACAGTTTTTTTCTTTCTAAATTGAAGCAAAACAATAATTTTAAATTTTAAAGAATGAAAAAATAGTTTTTAATTAATTTTTGACTTTTATTTTTTTAATTTCACAGGTTTTAAATAATTTTTATCATCATTAATTCTAAAATTAATGAAGAATTTTTAACATATTTAACTATTTTATTAAAAGGGTTGTAAAAACGAAGTATGAAATTTGATGCTTTTTACTATAAAAAGTTGTTATTGAATAAGATTTTTGTTATTGATATTTAGCTTAAGGTAATTCAAATATTAAAAAAAGTTCCTTTGAATAATAAAATAAGGTGCATAATTAGTTAAAATGTTAAGCAATTTATTTCATCATTAAATAAACTCGGCGTTAAATAATAAGTTCACACGAAAAAGATTATTAGAGGATGTGAGTGTGTTTTTTAATTGATTTTTCTTTTTATCAAAAAATTTGAAATAGAACTTAGATATTTTCTGATTTTAATTAGTTATTAAAAATAGAAATTTACTTGATTTCTATCATCATCAGATAGATAGATATATAGATATATAGATTCCTAAAAGATATATTCAATCATTAAATTATTCATATCAACGTCTTTTAAAAATATTTTGAAGTCATTCCATAAAAAAATAATCAATAATATTTCTGAAATTATTCGTATTTATTAATTTAAAATAAAAAATCAAATGAATAAGGGTTATTACTTATTAGTCGCTTTGGCAATTCTCGCAGTTGCTTCTGCCAATTTGAAGGAAGAAAAGATTACCAAGAAGGTCAGATTTACTGTTACATTCGATGGTAAGGAACCTGGTTTTGTTGAAATCGGTCTTTTCGGTTAAACTGTTCCCAAGACTGTTGAAAATTTCCGTGCCCTCTGCACTGGTGAATTAGGTGAAAGTAATGGTCACAAGCTCTCTTACAAGGGATCTAAGTTCCACAGAATCATCCCTAACTTCATGGTTTAAGGAGGTGACTTCACCAACCACAATGGCACTGGTGGTCTTTCCATTTATGGTTCTAAATTCCAAGATGAAAACTTCAAGCTTAGACACGAACCTTACTGCCTCTCTATGGCTAATGCTGGTCCTAACACCAACGGATCTCAATTCTTTATCACCACTGCTTAAACCAGTTGGTTAGATGGACGTCACGTTGTTTTCGGTAGAGTTACTTAAGGTGAAGACATCGTCAGAAAGATCGAAGCTGCAGGTTCTCCTTCCGGTACTCCTTCTAAGAACGTCGTTATTGCTGACTGTACTGAAGTTGATTTAGATTGAGCATTCTGAAATTATTTGATATCATTAAGTTAAAATAGTTAAAAATGGTCTCTTAATCGCATAGACTTATTTCAAAGTCAAAAGGCAATCCATAAATAGTTAATTAATCAATAAATTCAGCAAAATTAACTTGTAAAGCAGTATAAATTCATGTATTCGTATTGTTTATTTCAAATTATGGTTTGTCTAAAGAATAATATCAATTAATTTTTTTTAATTTATCATTAAGTAATATAAAACATTTTGTTTTATCCTACATAAAATGATTAAAAAATTGCTTGAATAATTAGTTAATTAATTCATTTAATTTTAAATATGGTTTTTTTGAATTTAAGGCAAGTTTAGCATTTCAAAGTACAAAGCCATTTATTTCACAGCATATTTAAAAAATCTAACAAATATCAATCTAATTATTAATTAATTTCAGCTAAGATTCTATAAATAAAAATTTAAATCTTAAGTATTATGTTTTAATAACATAAATTCATTAAAAATGTTTTCTTTTTTATATTTAAATTTAAAAATATTGTATTAGGTAATAAGATGAAAATATAAAAATTCTAATATAAGTTTTTAATAAATTTTTTAGGTTTAAATGAAATATAAAGACTAAGCTAACCAAATTTTTAATCAATGTATATGAAATAATAAAAATGAAATAAATTTAATAGCAAAACAAGAAAAAATTATATAATTAAAAAATATTTTCATCTTTTCATAATAGATTTTATTATTGTTAAATATTAACCTCAATCTATGATTTTGAATCTAATCAAAAAATTAAAAATTAAAATCAGGGTTAACTTAGATGGCTTTATTAGAGTGTTTTTGTAGAATTTATTATTTATTGAATTGAAACAATAATTTATTTAGCTTAATTTGATATTCTAAGAATTCTTAATTAATAATTTTTTATTATTATTTATGATATTTATTTTTTTTATTTTTATCTTTTGAGTAATAGGCAAACAAAACACATTTTGGCTAAAATATTGGATTAAATTATGAAAGAAATTATTTTTAAGTACTATTAAATATATTTTTAATTCTAGATAATAATATGAATTCATAGTACGAGCACTCACTTTGTATCATAAAATTTTGATAGTCTTAAATTCGTTGGCTATTTTTAATTTAAATATAACAATAATAATTGGAACTTATTTATAATATTTGATAGGAATTTTACAAAAACCTGATTTTAAATATTGAATTGGCCTAAAATTTTAAGAAAAATAATTTAAATTTTGACAATTTTTTGCAAAATGAAAATCTCTGTTTATATGCTTTAAAACCAATGTGTAAATTGGCTAATTTTTTTAAATATTTCAATTCATGTCTTAAATTCAGCTGGTCAAAAACGCTTTTATATTACTATAATTACAAAGAATTACGTAAAATTATAGAAATATCAATATAATAATTTTTAATTTATGAAAGAATATCAAATTATTTTAAGGACTAAATATTAAATAAATACTTAAGATATAGCCTGAATAAGCAAATAAAATTTAGTTCGAATACTTTCATTAAAATCAATGAAGACTTACTTATAAATATAAGGGAGTAAGTTGGAATTTTTATTTATGGACAAAACAAATATTGATTGATCTAAAAGCAAAATAAGTAAAGCTTAGATGATAATAAATAATTCGAGAAATGAAAAAAAAGCCTTATCAGACGACTGATTTATTTATTTTTTATAGATAATCAATAAACTTATTATTTGATTTATGAATAAATATATGATTGATTAATAAATTGTTTTTATTAAAGTGTGTCTGTCTTAACAATGAAAAAATTTAATACATTTTGGCTTTGGCCTATGAATATAATAAAAAATATTAAAAGAAAAAAAATTATTTAACTCTGTGTCTTATCTATTGAAATAAAAAAAAAAAAAAATTAATTATTCAAAAATAAACTTCGGATTGAAGAAACCCATTAGGTAATTTATCAATTAATTAATTAACTAATTCACTACCAAGCGAAAAAAAAATTAGAGAACAATATTAATTAATCCAAGAAAGAGACCATAAAAAATAAATTAAATCTAACTTAAGAATTTAAATACATTCACGAAAAAAAAATAAACAAAAATTAAAGAAAAGCCAAACAAACAAACAAATAAATAAACAAACAAACAAACAAACAAACAAAATCAATCTATCAATTCACAGATTTGATTAAATCTATAATATTAAAAAGGGTTAATCTGCGATAAAAATGATAGGATAATTCAATTAGTTGTGGAAGATGTTCATTCGACCCTAAAGAATGGAGTATTCCACTTCAGATTTAGGTAATTTTTATTTCCACCTATTTCATCTGTTTCTCCAATCCTATTCTGTTTTTCTGCCTCGCGCTGATGATTTTTCGTTTCTCCCTTCTATTTTCTTTCTTATTTAAGAAATATATATAAAGAAATCAACCAAGCAAAGCAAGCAAGCTAGCAACAAACTTTATCAATATTACTTATAGTCTTATTTGTGAAGTGAGCGGGAGTCTAAGTAAAATAAGAAATATTTTAGAACATAAATTATTTTAAAAGAAAGATAGAAGGTGTGTTACTTTTCAGCTATTTAGCTCTAATTTTGTATGGAGAGGCGAAAAAAAGTTTATTTTTTGAGATATTAATATATGTTTTAGCCATTTATTTAGTTTTAATGTTTAATTGCAATAAATAAGTAGCTATAAAAATTGTAAAAGGGCAAATAATATTTATGAGTTTATTTTAATTTCTAAAAAAGGACATGAAACACAAGTATTTGGAAGATATAGATCGAAAAGAACTGATCAAGTTATTTTAAACAAGCGCAATTTAAAATTATAGTGCTCATTATTTGAACCGATACTAATTGGATAACAGTAAGGCAATGAAGAAAATAAGTTCCATTGTGTTATTTATTGCCACTGCAATAGTGGTTCTAGAATAGAAGCCCTAAGATTATTGCCTAATTTAATTTCAAGAGGAATAGGTCTCTTTTGCTTTGACTTCTCTGGTAGCGGTCTCTCTGAAGGTGAATATGTGACATTAGGAATCAATGAGAGTTAAGATTTAGAATGTATTGTCCAAAATCTCTTAGATTCAGGCAAAATAAACAACATAGTACTTTGGGGTAGAAGGTAAACATATATAAATAAATATTTTCAATACCCCAAATTATTTTACAAGAATGAATTAATAAAATAATTGATAGATTTTTGTGCAAATAGTATTTTTAGTCAAAAAAGGTATTAAGGTTTAAGTAAGAGTCAGTTTTAAAAGAAAAATGCAAGCATTACTTTTAAAAATAATTATAAATAAGCAATTTTTAGGTAGATTCAAAAATGAAAAGGATGAAGGTATAATGCCAAATAAGTTATGAAAATTTGATTATGGATTAAAGGAAATGAGTTTTGGTATTTAAAATAATGCAGTTTTAAGTTTGTGAGTATGTTATTTGACTAATTCTTTTTGAATATTAGAAAGCCAGCCAAAAGCAATAAAGCTTGATTAAATAATTGAGAAATTAAGAGAATTTACATCACTATTTTACTATTTATTCAGTAAAAAGCAATAAAATACCTATTTGGCAGTAATTAAAATGAAAAAATATAATTTAAATATCCCTAAAATCCTTACATTGCTTAAATTCAGTTTCAATCTATTCATTTATTTATTTACTCACAGATCTTTATAATTTTATAAATAAATACATACATAGATTGATTCATACTTTCAATTATTTGAAGAAATACAATAAATATTTTTCTTCTTCTTTTTTCTTTTTTCTTATTTGACATTTTTAAGAAAAAAGAAAATTTTTGTTACTCACAAATGATAAATATTATTTTTTACTGGATACAATTAAAGTTTTAACTTAAAAAATACTTTCTCTTCCTAAAAAAATTAATTAGATGCTTTATCCCAGCATGATTTTCTAATTTTTTTTAGCTAAGTTAGCTTTTTCCAAATTTTAAATTTAAATTAGAGATTGGAAGCTTGAAAAAAATTAATTCCTTTTCTAACTTATTTATTTGCACAGATAAATTATAATAACTGAGCATTCACTTGAATTTGAATTATATTTTCTGATTTCTTTTTAAATTAACTAGATTCATCAAAAATAACAACCACAAAATAAATTATTAATCTTCCTACTATTGTTAAATTTATTTTTTGATTAAATTTTATTTATTAAAGCAATCTCTAACAAATTTTTAACAGCATAAGACTAAATACACTAACTATTATTATCAAAATTTTTCTTATAATAATTTCATTTTCTCAAAAAAATTCTTTCAGTTTCAAACCCATCTTGAATATTTTAATTAAATTCTAAAATTTTTTACAAATTTTTCTAAATTAAAATGATTTCAATAATTTTTTATCAAAATGATAAAATTAATAGCTGCTGACTGAAACATGAATTTGCAAAATAAAATAATAATAATTATTTAATTTTATAAAAATAGCATGGGTGCTGTTACAAGCATGATGTATTTGTCAAAGAGACAGACTTAGAGAGTGAAGGGAATTGTTTTTGATAGTGGTTTCGCTAATTTGAATTTTCTTGCTTTGGATGTCGCCAGATAGAAAACGGGAATGCCAAATTTAGTTTTAGATATTGCGATATCATAGGTAAGAGATTAAGTGAAAGAGCGTGTTCCTATTGACATTTAGGAAATAGATTTAACAAAAGTTATTACTAATATATACATACCATGCTATTTTATTTGCTCAAAAGAAGATACTTTTGTGAAGTGTGAGCACTCAGAACAGCTTTATGCTCGTTATAATGGCCAAAAATGGCTAGAATATGTCAGTGGTAATCATAACGCTCAAAGAACTAATGATATTATTGATAAAATAATTAGATGGGTTGATGAATCAATTTTAAATAAAGACTAATCAAGCTCATCATATAATGCTATGCTAAAAAATTGTAATACAACTATGACTACTAACATAGATTTGACTTAAGAAAATGTGTCTTAAAATCGCAAGTAATCAGGTGCTGCTTAACCTATAAAAATTATTAATAGCAGCAGCAATTCTAATATTCAAAAAATAGTAATGACACAATCACCAAATCCTCGAAATTCTTATAACGATAGATCTGTTAGTCCTATTAAAACATAAGTTGATAATATTCCTGTAAGAAATAGTATTTAGTAATCTTTAGATGTAAATAGAATTGGATAAGCTTTTCAAATCAATTAGTAACAGCAATAATAGCTCCCTTAAAGAGGAGTTTAATAAATAATTGGTATGTAATAGGATTAACAATAAATTAAAATGTTAGCCGATTTTAATAATTAAGCCCCATAGCAACAAGCTAAAATTGAAAAAGAGAGATAATCTTAATTACCTGAAAGTAATTCTTCTCAATCACGCATCCCAACTGAAGAAACTTCATCAAGAAATGAAAATAACGAAAGCACAAACGGTTTTGCTAATATTCAAAATGCTAATAATAAATAAAATATACAAAACTAGCACGCTTACAGCTTTTTGAGTAATATTAATGAAGATGTTTAGTCTAATGATAGAATTTCATCTACACCCATAAGGAACAAAGAATTTGAAGAAAGTCCTAGATAAAAGATGCATAATCGCAGACAGGATTCTTAACAATTTACTTAGTAAAGTGTCCAACAAACTTTGTTGTCTAATTATGGTTCTAATAACCCACATCACTCTCATCATCATTAGCACCATATTTCTTAAAATTTCAATGCTTCTAATGCTATTGGAAGCGGATAACTTGAAATAGAATATCAGAGTGGCGACATACCACCTCGCAGAAGCGCAAATTAAAACTTTAACAGCTTTTAGGTACCTTACAATACATCCTAAGATTTTACTGATTAGCCATTTCCCTAGTAAAAGAGATAGAGTGTTCAGAATATTTTGCCTATTTAAGTATAAAAGTTTGAAAACAAGCAATCAAAAGACGGAAGTCTAGTTGGAACACCTCAGTTCAAACCAGATTAAAAATCCTCATTTGCTCCTACCAATCAGATTGATTTAGCTTCATATAAAAATAATGAGCAAAGCCCAAATATACCAAATGATGGGAAGTCAGACGAAGTAAGCAGCTATGGCTCGACTTAATCATCTAATGGAAATAAATTTAATTACAAGGTTCGTTAGCCAAGTTAATTTTCTGCACTTTAAATTTAGCAAACTAACTAGCAAAGCACAAGAAGTAGTAACAACGAAACAACTGAATAAAATAATAAACTACAGACTTAAATGAATACCACTCCTCCAAGAAAAACAGAGAAATCTTCTGTCGTTTAAAGTTCTTTACAAGGCTTGTAGCATCAGCAACCATAAAAGTTTACTGTGACCTCTCAAGGATAGCAAATTTCATATTAATTAATTCATCCATCAAAGAACATGAGTACATAAAATTTACATGAATAACCCCATTAAATAAATCCAATAACGATTTAAGGGTTAAATAATTAAACAATTTAGAATACCAAAGAAGACTAAGAAAAATCTGGTAAGAATGCCTCTAATTCAAATACGCCTTCCCAAAGATAAGTTAGATCATCAACTTGCAATGGCGCTATTCTCTCAAATAAATAAGAGCAACAGCCTTCATCAAATTCGAAGAATGCAAGTCAAAATTTAATTCCAAACTAACTTCATAATTACAATCCTCAATCCAAGAATGCACATATTCCCACAAGAGAACGTTAATTAAACAATTTTACTTAGCAAATTACTGATTTCAGCTCTTCAAATACCAATCCTAATAACCCTCCTCTTGTTACATTAAATTTAAAAACAGTAGGAAATGAACCCCTCACTCCTAAATAGTAAAAAACCTAATAGAATTTGAACCAGTAACAAGGTGCTCAATATTAATAAATGAGTTCAAATTAAAATTTTTTAAATTTATAAATGCCATTTTTCTCATCCTATACAGGTCCTATAAATACATAACCACAAGTTTCTTAAGGTTAACTTCCACCTTAACAATAATCAATTCAAAAGAATGTGAATATCTAAGTTCCACAATAAATAAGCTAATAACTTTAAGCTAATATTACAAATAGTCCTTCTCACTAACAAAATCAATAATAATAAATACACTTCCGTTCTAGGGGATTGAACGGTAGCATTGATGCTACTAATATACAAAGTTAAGCAATACAGATGAATAGTTTAAATAATAATTTATTAGTTCCTCACTAATAAAAACCAGTAAATGCCATGAAACCTCCTTTGAGCCCTGAAAAAACGAGAGGTGAACAACTTTAACAATAGCAACTGATTTAATAATAGTAACAATAACAAATCCAACAACAATAGCAGTAAATATTTTAACAACAGTAATAAGTACCATAGTAATAGCAATTTGTTCTATAGCAATAGCAGTAATAATAATAATAAATGCAATAATAGTAATAGCAACAACCATAGATCATTTAACAAAATCAACAACAATAATAATAAAAACAAGAATAGATCTTATAACAGTAGTAATAGCAACAAAACTAAAGCATTTCTGTGAAATCAATAGTCCAACAAACTAGCAGCAACAATGTGGTACCTAAAGCAGGCATAAACCTAAATTAATTTAATAGCTTGCCTTAAAATGTCAATTAAATTATGAATTAGCAATCAACTCCTAACAATACACAAATAGAAAAGAAATAAGGATTGACTCATATACCAGTCGCAAATATTTCTATCTCTGCAAATTAAAATAATACATAGAGAATTACTAGTAATATCTAAATGAACAACAATATTAGCAACAATAATAACAATAGCAATACTACCGCCACACAATATAGCAACAATACGTCAAATGAAAACACTAGCAGAAAATCTACTGAAGCTTCTAATTACTCATCTTCTAATGCAAGTGAAATCAACTACATTAAATACAATTCTCCTAATCAAATGAACAATCTAAACTAAATTAACAACTATTAATAGTACAATATAGATTCATATAACAGCAATTAAGGGAATAATACAAACAGAAAATACAGTGAAAACAATGCCCAAAATTATAAACTGATTATAAATACCAATTAACCCCAGTATTCAGATTAGCAAATTTAATCTCCTCAATTCCCATCTCAGAATTAAACATCAAATAATGCAAATCTTCAACTGTCTTCATAAGATGAAAACAGAGGATCGTCTTCCAATTTACAGTAATAGCAAATAAACATTTAGCCATCTTCTACTAAAAATACAACCTTTTCAATGCCTAATAAAATGTTTAGCACATATGATACAGCCTTCAGTTACAAAAACGATGATTTTAATCGTAAAAAATCCTCAAACAATTTGATTGATTTCATGGAAAGCAACTAATAGGCATTTTCTACTCACAATTAATTAGGAATAGGAAGCTTAGGAGGAGTTCCTACAACACCAAAAGGAAGTTCATAGTCAAATTATAGAGTTGATACTTTATTCAAGGATACATCCATGTAATATAAACAATCACAATAAAATATTCCAAGACATACTGGAAACAAGTGATTAATTTGAGAATAGTCTAATAAAATAGTTAGAACAATTAATAATAGATAAAAGATATCAAATCATAAAAAATTAGCTTCTCACTTTAAAAAAAAACCAACCACACAACCAGTGTCATTCAATCAATCAATTAACCTTTACAATATTATTAATTACATAAATTCCTAACTCTACATTACGAATAAAACCACAAAGTATATTTTAATCTTATAATAAACATATAAATTAGTTTTTCCTCTCCGCTTTTTGAGTCCTACAAAATTATTAAGTAAGTTAAACATTTTTCTGAAGCGAGTAGTAAGTAATCTCTTAAGATACCAAAATATAATTTACATATTAAATAATATACTGTAAAATAAATTATATCTTGCCAATATAACCTTACAAAACTCAATTTTAAGCTAATAATTGTCAAATACATTATTTCTTTTAGTTAATTATTTAACCTGTTAGTTAATATGAAAGTAAAGTAAGCTATCTATCCTGATTATTGATGGGATCTCTACAAATAAAATATGATTCTATAATTAAAATTAGTTTGAGAACAAAGGATAATTAATTAATTAAATTATTGATAATAAAAATATTAAATACAAATTATTTAAAAAGAGGGAAGATTATTGATTATATAGAAATAATAAAATTATACTGTCTAAAATAATAACAATAACTAACTAAGTAAATAAATAAATATAAAAATATACAAATATTGTCTTTTTAAAGTGAAAGGGGATTTTCATCCAAATAGAGTTAAACATATTTCTTTATTTAAAAATTTTGTTTAATACTGTTTGTGTCAAATTAAAATGATGAGAGGAAATTTTTTATTATTTCTTGATTCAATTTAATTTATTCTCTCCTCTTTCACTTTTGACTAAAAATAATCTAAATAATATCATATTAACTATAAATAAATAAATATGTTTACCATTCATTCATCTATACATCTATCTATCTATTCATCTATATTCTATATTCTTAGTTTCTTTCAGTGCTTTTAGTTTTTTATTCATTTCATATTTATTAAAAATAAATAATTTTGATATTCAAATTTTAAAAATAATTATTTTAGATACAATTTGGTCATAAAATTTTTACTAAATTTGATATTTTATTTATTATATACTGTAAATTATCATTAAGTAAAACCTCAATCCCTTATTTCTAAAGCTTTAGATTAAATTAAGTAATTTTTATGAATTTTATATATTTTTTTAAATTTTTGCTCTAAAAGTTTAAACTAAAACATTTATTAAAATTTAAATCTAATTAAAGTCAATATTTATTTTATTAAAAAAAACTATTTAACTAATTAATATAAAAAGTAGAAATTATTTGTTTGAAAAAAATAAAATTTGCATTTGAAAGCAATTATATTAAAATTTAATAATTAATTTAATCTAAAATTAAATTAATATGCAATAGTAAAATATAAAATTTATACTTCATTTTTATTAATAAGCTTACAGAATTATATATAAAAGGAAAAGAGTTTTGTATCAAATAAAAACCTAATTAAATTTAATATAAACGAAATAAAAAGATTTTATTAACATAATATCAAGCATCTATAATGAATATAACTATTATATAAACAAAAAATGAATATGAAAAAGTAATTTTTATTCAACGAGTAATTTTATAATATAGAATTATAAGATTGGCAATTACCAAGATAATCACCATTAAAAATAATAGTAACTTCTCTAACATAGCTTTATTGCTTACAACCCTTCTTATTCTATCAATGAGTGTTAAATTTTCATCAACTTAGTTAATCTTTATATAAAATGTTTAAAATATAAATTTCATTTTTAAACTTAAAGCCAATAAAATTTTTTACCCCTGATATAATTTTATTAATGTTCTCGTTTTATTCGTGTAACTTTTAGATTGTGCTATCTGTAACCATATTACCTTAAGCAGCAACAGCATTTATTTACAATATGGTGTGATAGTTAGATTCTTATGTTTTTGCCATACTAATTTCAGATTATTGTATATTTTTCTATAAATTCTATTTTATTTAAAGAACCAACAATTAATTAATTCAGTAAAAAGTGTTATTTTAATTAAAATATATATAATTATACTGAGCTCTCAGCCATATCAGTTTGCCCACTTTAAATTGCATCAAGTTTGTTTTTTTACTTTTCAATATTCTTAGTCATTCTATCTATTCTACTCTTGCTTTGTTTCAAGTCATCATTATATTTCTTTACCTTTGTATAACAAATATTAATCAATATTCTTTCTTCTCTTTATTTAAGTTTTTTAAAATTACTTTATCTATTTCCTTTCTTAGGTTGTTCTTTTCTGAATAACTTTTTAGTTCTTGAAGCTAAATAATTTCATAATATTAAATATTTTTTCTCAAGACATTACTAAAGATTCTAAGATTACTTTTGATTAGCACTTTTTATATTACTCATTAATCGAGGCGAGCATTTCCTCCATTTTTTCTAATTATTTATTAAATTAAATACCTTAAATCTAAACCATTTTTATTGATTTTAGAAATAAATTAAGATATTAATTCATCAATTTTACCTAAAGATTGCAATTATGCTTGCCCAACTTATTCTTTCAGTTGGCTGTTTAACTTTTTATACTCTTCTTCATCATGCTAAAACATTTTATAACTTATTCACTAAAGAAATTTCAAGTAATTGTCCTTAAATTCTTTCTGCTGATGATAAAATTATTTGAAAATAAAATCTGATTATAAGTAATATTTATTATATTTTAATTATAAATTCTTAGTTAAATATTGAATGTATTTTGAAACAAAACTGCGCATAGAATTTATTACAAAGATTTTTTCTAAATAACTTAACATTGTATTATATTAACCAACTATATAGTTAATATCTTAATTTCTACTTTAAGTTAAAATCAAATTTATATAAAATAGAAGCATATTAATTATTTCAAAAATATTTAGAAACTTATTGCATAAAATAAATAAAAATTTTCTTTATAATTTCTAATTTGCAACCAAGCTATTTTTTTCTATTTAGCTTTCTTTTAAACTTACAAATCTATTTCAATTTATTGTACTTTAAATGAAAAAATTTATTTAACCTTTAAACCAAGTAAGATAGTTTGCTTTTGAGATTTTTAGCATCTAAAATGGTAAACCAAGAAATAATTCTAAAAAATAAAAATTAATTAAATCTAGAACAAACACAACCACAACAAAAAATTTCTTCACATCATAAAATGATGTTTTATTTTTTTTGTATTTTGAACCTAATTAATTTTTTAAATGTTTTTAATTTACCACCAAATAAAATAAAATTCTTTCTTTGATTTAAGAATAAAAAATGAAAAAAGGATAAGGCTTAATAGGAATTTAATTCAATTTTTTAATAGAATAATAAAATATTAAATATTGTGTTTAGAAAGAAATTAAATTGTTTTTATATATAAAACATGCTTATTTATTTAATAACAAATTTAATAATTATATATTGATTTATTTGTCAGTTTTTTTTAATCATCTAGAAGCAACATTTCTTCTCTTTTTAAGAATGATCTTATTAAACTTAATATCATCAAAGACTTCATGTCTCTTTCTGTATTCATTATCTTACTCAGGAGCTGGGAAATTATTTAAGCTCTTAGATAAGAAGACAATACCTTCTCTGTTCTTTCTAGGTTTTCTTCTGTAGATTCTAACAATCCAGTTTTCACTTGTGAAGGCTTCTTCAAAGTACTCTAATTTGAATTTTTTAAGACCTACTTCTTAGTTTCTGACGTTATCCCAACCCTTGGGTTTTTGATAGGCAGTTTATATTTCATCAAATCTAATTCATAAAAATATTGAATAAAAAGATATTTTTGGAAACTATTACCTGTAAAAACTCAATCTAAACATTAGAGAGTTAAGCATTGTTTCAGAGGCTTAGGAGTCAATACGATATTAATTGTTCTTACTGTAGAAATCTTCTTCCTTGACATGTGGATAAACACCACCAGCAATACGAACCATCCAAAGGAATTTGTTAATATCATCACCAGAGAAGTAAGAGTAACCACCAAAGATCATCAAAATATAATCAACATCAAGTTTGTCGCAAACTTCATAAGCATCTGATTCACTACTAGCCAAAGCCATTGCAACAGTTGCAATATGAGTATTATTCCAAGTGTTATTATCTACCATGACAGTTCTTTTGATTAATAAATATTATTTATTTTAATTAATGAAAGTTAATTATGGATTTTTAAAAAATTTTAATTAATATTTTCATAAATAATAAAATTGAATTAAAATGTCTTTTATTACCTGTTGGACATACCAGTAATTTAATAACCGTAATCCCACCAAGAGAGAATCTTTTCATCAGATTTTGTGTTTTGTCTTAACCAGAAGTATGCTTCTCTGAAGTCATCAACAATGTGTCTATTACCGTTTCTATCTCTGTTTGAAAGAATAATTGAGGGAGAAGAGTAAGCTTCAGCACCAGTGTAATTACAATGCATAATATAAACTGATATAAGGTATCCGATCAATAATAAACCTATCAAGCTGACAGTAGGACTTACATGGTATTTTGATTTTTTCTCTTGCTTCTTTGCACCAAAAACAAAGTTACGTAAGGATTTAGTGAAAAGATTGACAGTCCAACTAACACCAATTCCACCGACGATTGACAAGGCGGGACCGAGGACTAAAAGTAAACGAACCATGACAGAAGCAAAATAAACACTCAATACGAGGTAAATAGCCATGAATATTTTACCATAGTTTGGTTTTTTGAAGCAGTAGTACAAACCAATAGGTCCAAATATAGTTAAGAAGTGAAGATCAAAGAAGAAAGAAGACCAAGTAGTAGCTTAATGTTCAGAAACTGATGCTATAATTGGAATATATTTCTTAGCATAAGTAGGATCAAGAAGAGTCAAACTTCTGCCACTCCATTTAGTTTTACCTGTGACATACATCAAAATAAAGGCTATTAGCAAGAACAAAGCAACACCAATAATGAACAAACGAGTTAAAATCTTAACTCCTTTTTTGTGGATATGGCCTTTTAAGAAGTTAACAAATTTGTAAACTTAAAGCAAGATAAAGACACCATGACTTGCCATGTGTTCAGAAGAATGAATAGCCTAATTAATAAATGTAAAAAGTTATTTTAGAAAATATCAATCATAAAAAGGTTAATTCTTAAGAATTAAAAATAGCAAATGAAAATTAATTACTTAAAAGCCAACAAAAGGAATCTAGAGAGCTAAAATTGTTCCAAGAATGTAGAATACGTTGTATGAAACATAGAGCTTAGTAGAATATCTATCAGTAATCATTAAGAAAACAACAAAGATAGGAATAATGTTAATGATGAAAGCATAACCACCCCAAGAAGCAACCATGAAGAAAAGACTCAAAGCTGAGTAAGAAGACCAAATGATACTTCCAGTGTTAGCAGCTTTAAGGAAAAGATAAAAAGTAAAGACCAAGGCAAAAATGGCAACACCTTCATTATCATAACTACCTGCAACACTACGAGACATATAAGTAGGTACTATTGCAATAAATAAAGCACTGAAAAGGCCTGCATCTGCTCTCTTAGTAACTTATCTAGTCAATAAGTAAGTTGCTATGCTTGTGAAAGCAGCAAAAATAGGAGCAAGGAACACACAAACGTTTCTAATGTCAACCTTTCATTAAAAAAATGAATTAATACATTTTAAATAATTATTATAAATATAATAAAAATCATAATATTGCCCAAAAAAATAATTATTTGTTATAAATTAATAATAAATATATTTTATTCTATTTTATAATGCAATAAATTATTTGAAAAATTGTGTATATCTTTAAATAAATTAATTTTAAGCTATTTTTATTTCAGGGATTTAAAGATTTACAGGCAAACATAATTTATGAAGAGTCCAGTAGATAGCACCAGCAGTAGCCATAAGACCTGGATAAAGAGTACCACCAACAGAACGACCAAGAGGATACCAAGATTCGGAATCAAACCAATTCCATAATCCGTAAATACCATCTTTATTGGTGACCAAATATTAGGTTGTACGATAATTGAACCAAGGATCGAATTCGTGAATAATACTTTCGTAACGAATAACGGAATAGACTCTAACTAAAACTGCAACAATTGATATTAATAATAAAATAGTCATATTCAATGCAGGAGCCCACTTTATTAGTTGAGCATGTATTTGTAATTTGAATTTCGATTTATTTTCAGCTACTTGTTCTTCAGAAATTTCATCTTCTTCTAAATTTTTTTTTTCTTCTGAAGATTCTACGTTAACGTCAGAAGGAGTTTCATCCTTCTTAACCTAACGCTTAGTTGTCTTTGAGTCTGTACTCATACAAATAAATATTTAATAGAATTTAACTAAGCCTTTTGCTATAAAATATCTATTTACTAATTAATATTAAGCAAAAATCTTTTTATTTAATTAAATATCTTCTTCTTTTTGCCTGAATGAAAAATTCTTTAAACCAATAGATAAATAGATAGCAGGTATTTATTGATTGATTCATTTATCAAACTAAGTAAATTCTTAAATTTTTACATAACAAGAATCGTTTTGATCTAATAAAATAAGAATACACGTATATTTTTTATAAAATAATGATTTAGATATTTTTTATTACTTTTATTGAAACCAATTAAAAGTTTGAATGAAGGTAGTTCCTAACAGTAAATCAATAAATATAAAAAAAACAATGAAATAAATATATTGTTTTTAATAATATATTATTAATAAATACAATCATGGCATTTATTTTAACATAAATTAATAACATTTAATTATACAAATTTTCCTAAATTTTTAATTCATATCAATATTTATTAAATATAAAACATTTTTTTATTTGAATCAATTTATTAAAAATTATTAATAGTTGCTTTAAGTTTATTATTAAAAATATTTTTTAAGAGAGTGTTTGATTTAAAATTTGTTTTCAAAAAAAAAAAAACTCAGTAAACCAAATAAATATTTTTAAAAAATAGCTAGCTTTTAAATATAACAAAAGAATAATAAAATTAAATATAAAATAATTTAAATCAAAATTTTCAGACTTAATTTAAATAACCAATTTGCTTTTATTTTTTCCTGCTTTTAAAATAAAATGTTATTAAATATAATTGCTTTTTAACTTATCCTTATTCTAAACTCTACAAATCTAATTTATTTATATCATATTATTTTGAATTTTCTAAACATATGTCCCTTGATCTGAAACTTATAAGTACTCGATTTTTTAATTATCTATTCATTCTGTGAAGAGAAATTTATTAATATATTTTCCATATTTTCATTCAAATCTTAAATACTTTAAGATTATTTTTATTATGAGCTTATTTAATTCTCTTGGAGACACTCTTAACTAACTTTCTTAATTGATATCATTAACTAGTCAGAATTAAATATTAGACATTTAAACATTTTATTAATTTAATTTAATTATTTACCATAATGAGCTTATTGTCCTAATATTTAATTTAGTAAAGTGATAATTTAATTTTTGAATTCTATATATAAAATAAATAAATAACTAAATTTTATAGCCAAATTTAGATTAATATTAATAGAATATTCAGATTCTTTCTAAAAAAAGATATATTTGTTAATTTATTAATTAAAAAATAAGAAATAGTTTTTGTTAGATTGTTTATTTAGAAGTAGCGTGTTTAAATGAGTGAAGAAAATTTAAGTTTACCCTTTAAAAAGAAATTACCAATCAGGGATGATTCATTGATTACTATGGATAATCTAGATGATTTAAATGAAGAAGAAACTTTAATATTATTAGATAAATGGCAAAATGAAAAACTTCCTAAAAATAGAATGTTTGCATTCTTTCTTTACAATTGTGTGATGTGCGGTTTAACAATGTATTATACCATGAATTTTAAGCATTACTCTAAGAAATTTTTTAAGCCAAAGGAATATACCTTTAGAGAAATTGTTAAATATGGAACAATTTAATCGACTGTATTTATAGGTACTTATTTGCTAGGAGCTGCAGTTGTTACTAACTTTTGGAATCCTGCTGAATACGTTAGAGGTTACGCTAAGATATAAGGAAGAATTATTGATAACACAATAAAATTCGATCCTTATGTATAAAATTATGTCTTATACGATGTTATGAAGTATTTTAACTTATCTCCTAATTTGTTAAATCAAGCAAAAAAGGAATTAGACAATTAATAAAAGACTTTGGAAGAAAATAATTTCTTCACTGAAGAAACTAAAGAACTTATTCATAAATCACAAGAAGATTATGAATCTTATGAAAATCATAAAAAATCTTAAAAAAAGGAAATTTTTTGAAAGCATTAAAATATAAAGTTAAAAAAATATTTTTTTTTTGTATTTATGTTGTTCAGTTTGAGTTTCAACAGAAATATTACTTTTATGATCTGTATTAATTCAATTCTAAGAGTTTTAATTTTTTACTTTGAGTTTATGATCAATTTTTTATATTACTTTTTTGCTGATGAAAATAAATAAATAAATGACTATGTTTAAGTAGACTCAATCAATTATTTCCAAAAAAATAACTAAATTATTGATAATTATAAAAATAAATTTGCAATCAAAAACTTCTATCAATTAATTAATTAATATTAAATAAATAAATAATCCCTAAAATAGATAAAGGACTAGCCATTAAAATTTCAAAAATATTAAATTATATAAAATGTCTCGCACAAAGGATGTATTTCGTGATGAAACTAATAATAAGCATAATCAAAGTTTAGCTAATGAACAGAAAAATAATAGTAAAAAATATATTTGAATATCAGTGAAATAACATCGATTTTAATATTTCAAATAGCAACCATTTTGGAAACATCAGGCATTCTCGATGCTTATGAATGTAAATGCATAAAACAAAGTTAAAAAAATAAAAATAATTATTCTCTAAAATTTAGATTTTTTAAGGTAGCTATGCAAAAATGGTTTACCCTCAGGTAACGTATATGAATTTGCAGCTTAGTAAATCTTGAAGTTTGAAAGAAAAAGAAATAATGAAATAAAAAAGAGAGTTGCTCTTAAAAACTCTCTCGAAGCACTAGGTATTCAGCATTTACTTAATAGGATTTAAACTAATCTCATACTTTTTATATTAATTATAATAATAGAAAATCAATAAACAAATTAATAAGATTAGACTAAAGAAAATAAAATTAGCAAAAGCCCAGAAAAGAAGAATTGTAATTGAATTAGAATGATTTAATAAATGTTTTAATTGATTTAAAATATGGAGATATTTTTTAAATAATATAGAGACAAAAGGGGATGAAAGCAAAAAAGGATAGCTGTAAGTCTAATAACTAGATACTCCAACTGTTTCCCAAAATAGACAAAATTAAAAATCTGATGTTGGATTAAAGTCTCCTAGCGCAGGCCTTTAATAATAAGTAGAAAAAAAAGGATAAGAAAAAGAAACTGCACAAACCTCTAAGAAAGATTTAAATAAAAAGAAATGATTTTAATAGAGTTAATTTTTATATAATTATAAGTTATTAAATTAATTAATTAGTCAATTTATATTAATTTAACAGAAAAATGAATAAATAAATAAACAATTTAAATACTAAATAATATCAAATATATTTTTAATAATTATGTCATTTATGTAATAAATGAGAAAAATTTTTTTATTAAATTAGATATTTTTAGAATAATGGAAAACAAAATAAAATCATTTTACTCATTAATTGGAAACGTAAAATAATAAAATTAAAATTTTAATAACTAGATATAATCATCCTAATTAAGAGTTATAAAATTTAACTCATAAAACTTGTCTTTTTTTAATTAACTAAAAATATAATAAATTTTTTGTTTTTATTAAAATATTTGAAATATTATTATTTGAATGAATTAAAAGAAACAAATACATAACACAAATCTAAAACATATAATACTGTGTAATAAAAATTTATCCTTTAATTTTATTATATATATCGGATTGCTGATTAGTTATTTAGTTGGTTCATGCAGCATTTTAAATAAATAAATAAATTTAAGCCATTAAATTATTGGAACTCATTTCTTGTTCTTAATAATATTTTGCATTTCTACTCTATTTACTGAGGCAGCGAGCACATTATCGTTTTTGTTAAACTTAAATTCAGCTTACTGTATTGGTTCATCTGATTTCTTAATCTATTTTTAATTTTAAATAAGTCAATAAAAAATATGATGAATGTAATTTATTTACTTCGTAACATTAAGTCTTCTTTTGGAGAACTTTTATGAAATCCCAGACTATAGTAAATGCTCCTGTTGTAGAAACTATGAATTTTTCTTTCTTTGTCAAGCAGTTATCAAACTTAGCAGGAGTGAATCCAATTTCTTTAAGTTTTAGGTAATACTAATCTTCGCTAGAGAGCTATAGTCTTATAGGTACTGGTCTGTTATCTATCTTAATGGTAGAGTTAAATCCATTTTTGGTTACATTAGAACAATCGTAAGTAGGGAATAGAATTAAATAAGTTTGGCAAGTAGCTAATATCCATTTACCATCTTAACTGATATCAAGTCCTTTGATAGGATCTATTTATTTTAAAAAATATAAATAAGTTTAATAATAAAGAGAAAATTATAAATTTAATTTTTAATATTATTCATATTTACCTCCATAACCTAAATTAAATTAGTTCTTGGCATTCTTAGTTACATCATTATAGAGACGAACTGAGCCATCAGCACTACCAATAGCAAATTCACCGTTTTTAGTACTAGAAATGCATGTGAAATGGTTGTTTTATGCATACATTTTGCTACCATTTTGAATACAAGTCTAAGCTGCACCTTTTGAAATACGAGGATCCATCCTGAATATGTTTTTGCTATTGATGGAATAAAAAGTTTTGGTATTTTCTAAGTCTCCGTTTTTTGTTTAGTTGCAAAAATCCTTAATTGCATTGTTGAAACCTTCATCAGCTCCCTGTTGTAAAAATGAAAATAAATATAAATTTTTTTAAAATAGTTTAAAAAGCTTACAAATTCTTAGATGATTTTTCCTTTCTCAATGTCGTAGTAGTATACTTTTTTATTCTCTTCATTATTTAACAGAAGCATTTTTGTGTCTTGCTCTTGCATTAAAATCTTCTTTGGCTCGAAAACTTCTCCATTTAGTCCTTGGACAATAGGCAAGGTAAGTAAATACTGTTTATTAATTAATTAAAAAATAAATAAATAAAAATAGGAAATAATATTTATTTTATTGTTTACTTCTAAGTCTTAGTCTTGATCTTGAATGGTTCTATAAACTTCTATGTTTTCTCCCTTAGAAACAAAAGTTCTATCAAGGATCTTAGCTTGTGCAATCGATCTAAGATCAGAATTGCTTTGAGTTTCACCTTGAGCAATATAAACCTAAGGGTCAAAGGTAATATTATTGATTTCTTCATCCATATAATCTTTGTTTTCCTCAATATAATTTTCATCTGATCTTTCGCTGGAAAATCTTATTATTTATTATATTTCTTCGTCTTTAAATGCCTTCTATTATTCTACTTTGTTATTTTTTTCGTAATTGCAAGATTGCAAAGCTACAGCAACCTGCTAAGAAGCTCCTGGACTGTCAAAGAAAACTTGATATAATATAATTGAGTCAGCTTTATTTTCTATCCATCTAATATAGTTTTCTTGATGGTTAATTTCATAAGATTATTCAAAGTGGTATTAGTGAATCACATGCTAGTCTTCATTATAAATAAGTAACTTATAATCGTAATCTTCAAGCAATTTGATAGAAAAAATGATTCCCTATTGTTAATATTTAAAAATGTTTAAATTATAATTTTAATAAATCAAAATAATGAATGAACTTACTTTGTGTTTGAGTTGCATAAATACTCCACTTGCTTCATATAAACTTCCAACATTAGCCACTTTAATTTCCTAATAATTTAATAAATTTATTATATCAAAATGATTAAAATTAATTTATTTATTTACTTTTTTATTAGCAATTTCAAGCAAGGCATCTTTTAGCTTTGCATTATTTTCATTTTGGATGATTAAGTCTTCTCTAATTTTGTATTGACTTTTTTTCTCATCTTAAACTTGATTTTCTTTAGAAGAACTTGACTTCTTATAAAGCTAGAATTAATGCTAGTATTCTCCTACTCTTTTGGAACCATCATCTAGGTTTAAGCCTGCAAGTTCTTTTGAAAGCTATTGAATTTTTAAATAAATAAAAATATTTTAATAAAAATTTTTTAATTAAATAAAAGTAATAAAAATTAATTACTCTGTTCATGTCTTAATTTGCAATGCTGGTTTAATTTGGAATTTAGTGCTAAGCAATAGAAAATACATCAGAGTCTTTTTAGGATGTTGTCTCTGACTCTCTTCCTAAATCTTTACCTACAATATGTCTATTTTTTTGATTTAAAGATTAATTAAATTTGAATTTGAAAAAAATTAAATCTAGAATCAAATTAATTAATTTATTTATTAATTACCTGCACATCTGTTGAATCCTCTCATTAGAAATTTCACTTATAGGTTTTTAAAATGTTACAATACTAAGGAGTTCACTGAAATATCTTTCAAATTAAAGCACAACTTCCAAGTCTTTTTCTTCTGTTACATCGAATTCTACTCTCATACGTAATCTATTTAAATAAATATTGTAGCTTAATAAACAATAATCGCCTTAATAAACTTACTTTGATTCTAAATCAAATACATATTTTCTAATAACCTTGTCTCCATCATGAGCAGTTTATCTAATTTATTATTATTTTGATTAAATAAATGTATATTATTGAAATAATAAACTTACTCTCTTAAGTCCATGCTTGGAGCGATAGGGAAATAAAAAGGTTGTTCATCCTTAAAGAATTCCAAAAAGAAACTAAATTCAGTTTTTCCTTCACTAAAAGATATCAATGCGTCTTCCATTCTACATTTTATTATTATTAAATTGATAATTAGTTAAATTTTATAAATATTAATAGCGATTAATGAATGTGTTAATCAAATTTATTACATAAGCTTTGAAACCTTTTCTTCTCTCCTAAACAAATTGCCATAAACTTTATAATCCTTAATATATTCAGGAAGGGTATGCTTGGATTCCTCCTTGCCAAAAATTTTTTTGATAAAATTCATTTTTATAATTTTTCTGACAATATCAAATTTTTATAAAATTAAATTAATAATAATTATGTTATTGCTCTTTCGCTTATTTATTTTACTGAAAAAAAGATGAAAACAATCTATATTTATTTATTTAATTTTTACATATTAATTTATATAATATTTTCTACATCAGAAAACTGTCTATTTTAATGACTCTTTTTTAGAATCATAAATAAACTTTTTTAATTAACTTTATTAGTATCTTTTCTAATTTCATATCATATTCTAATTTATTGAATTTTTATTTATTAGCCCCTTAACTAATTAATTACCTTTCTTTTTGTATTCTTTTGATCATAGTCAGTATATTTAATTGTTAGTTAATTAATGCGGAAAGATATTGATCGCATTGTACTAATTATTCGAAATCAAATTTTAGCTAATGATTAAATTTTAAGGTAATGTAGTCTGATAGTAAAAAAACACGAAATTTAACAATAATAAAAATTAAAATGCTGGTTTAGCTTTTAAATTCTGCTTGTAAAAAATTTAAATTCAAGGATTTTTTATAGTGTCTAGATTAATTACATTTGACTCTCTACTTTACTGATACTCGAATTATTCTGTTCTAGATAATTCCTTTTCTTTAACCTTGTTATTTCAATACATATTTACTGTCTATTATAATAAAGAAAATAAAAAGGAAAAAAATTCTAAAAACAAGTTTTAAATAGATTTTAATCAATCATAATAATATAAACATACATTGTTTTTATTAAATTTTTTATATTTCCTCAGCAAAAGATTAATTTAATTAATTCTAATAAATAACAAAACATAAAAAACAGAAAACTGAATAAACACTTCAAAGAAACCTTCAAAAAATAAAAATAAATCACTATTTTTCACTAATTTTAGTTAATGAATCAATAATCAATCTATGAATTTCTTTAAACATTTTTAAAGCTAAAAATTAATTTTTTAGCAAAAATAATTTGAAATTTGAAAATATTACTAAAATTAACATTTTTTAATAATATTTTCCTTAATTTATTAAATCTTAGAATATTATTCAATTTTTATTAAAGCCCAAAAACACAAAATTCTAATATTTGATATATAAATTTTACTTACCTTCTCAATTATTATTTGAGTAATTACTTATGTTTTACTCAAAATAATTAATATTTTTATATGAAAAACCTCAATTTTTAAAACTTGTTATACTATAAAAAAATGATTTTTTTAAGATCATAATAACTATCTTCCTTATTAATTTAATAAATATATTTACTTATGTATTGTCTATTATAATTTAAATACCAAAAAAATTTAATTTTAAGATTTAGAAATAAAATTTTTAAATATTTTCTTTTAATTTTTAAAAATAAATGCAATAAATTTGTTTTTATAATACATATTAAAAACAAAAGTCTGTCTATAACTTAAAAAATAAAATATCATTTCATATACCATAAAGATACATAAATTAAGGTCATCTCATATTAATTTTAAATTTATTGCTTTAGAGCATAGATTTCATTCAATTTTAGAAATTTCTAAAAAACATGCCTTAATATGCAAACATTTACAGAAAATATAATTTACAAAATCATTAATTTTGAAGGTTGTTATTCTGATTATTATATTTATTTAATTGTGTTAAAACTATTTATTAGGTGTCTATATAATTTAGTTTACTTCTTTGATATTAATTTGATTTGTATTTGTTTTCTAAAAATAAATTTTCTACAAATGATTAAAATTTATCAAAAATAAAATTCTAATATTTTATATCTAAATCTAACTTTCATTTTAATCTTTTTACTAACTATGTTACCATTTTATTTATTTTTTAAAATAAATAGTTTTTATTAAATTCAATTTCATAGGAATAAAGCTCTAAATATCATATTTTATATACTAAAAATATAATTTTATTAAGAATAAATGAAAAACTTTTCTTATCAATGAAAAAATTTACAAATTAATAAATATATTGTCTATTATATTTGATATCTCAAAGATATTTAATTTTAACACTTATTAATGCATTTTTAAAATAATTTTCTTAAATTTAAAAAATAAATTCAATAATTTTAGTTGAATAAAGTATTAAATCAATAATCTGCCTGTCTATAGAGTTGATTATAATGTAAAATATAAATTTATAAAAAAAACCTTTTTTGAGAGTTGCTTTCTTAAATTTTACTTAATATTAAAAATTAGCTGTTAATTTTAATGTTATATTATGTTGATTAATTTAAATTTAGAAATATATCTTTGTTTCAGCTTCAAGCAAGCCCCTTTATTTAATTATTTCTTAAAAAAAAATATAATTTTATGTATGGGAATATATTAGTGGTATTTTTTACTCATTTTACTATAAATATCGATATTAAAATTTAACAAAAATGTAAATAAATATTTAAAATTTATTAATAGAGCTTTTGACGTCACTAATGTCATTATAGATTATTTTTAAATTTAATAATGTGATAAATAAAATCCGAATTTGATAATAATTTTCATATAAGATATTAAATTATATTTATTTGATCAGATGTCTGAAAAACTTTCTAAACAGTAGGAATTAGATACCAAGCTTTATAGTCTTATTGAAATAGAGAAAAGGCGATACAAATAAAAAGGTAAGTAAAATGATTTGTTTTTAAATTTAAGAAACTCACTATTCATTTAAATTAAGGTTTGCACCTCATTACTGCCTTCTTTCTATGGGCTTGCTTTTTTATTGGTTTACCTATTTATGGGAAAGTCTTATGGTCCTACGTTCATGAATTTGTTGGATAGAATTGTAAGAAATTTATATTTTATAAGATGCATTTAAACTGATCTTCTTCTAATAAAATTAGTGAAAATATTATATCCTTCTGGAATGAGTTTACTTCATACTGCTTTTATGCTAACTTGGTATGGTTTATTTTCCATTCTCTATTGCTAAAATAATACTGTATTTGAAAAATGGAGAGTCAACAAGGTAGAATTGATTTTTTTTGATAAATATTTATTTGAAAAATTACTTCTAAAAAAATGAGAATGGTAAGTGGCCATGGTAAAAGGATAAAAAGGAATGGGAGGAACTCAAATAAAAAACATATAAATGCCTTGCTTTGCATCATCTGATTGTCTTTCCTATTATCCTTCTATTTGATAGCTTTGTTACAGGACTTAAATACAAAACGTCTTTGGAGTAATTTCCTACCATGTATAAATTTGATAATCTATTTATATTTATAAATCAATTAATACTATTCTTATCTAATTAATCTCTATTTAAAATAATAAATTAAATGTAGAGGAGAGTTCTTTTTATAGATACTATTTTGTATGATTTGTGAAGATTTTGGATTTTTCTGGAGCCACTATACTCTTCATCACCCTAAGTTGTATAATAGTTATCATAAAAAGCACCATGAATATGAGCAACCATATTCAATCACAGCAGAATACTCAAGCCTACCAGAATATATTCTAGGAAATCTAGTAAAAATAAAAAATATATTATACCTTTATGTTTTATTGATAGCATTTAAACCATTACTAATTGTGTAAGCATAGAATCTTAAATAAAAAAGAATTTTTTTGGTCAAATTTAAGCTTTACAAATAAAATCAAAAGTTAAAATATTTATATGAAGAAAGTTTATAAAATTAGATTCGAAATTTAATCAGAAAATTTGAAATGCTGTCATTAATTAAATCAATTAACAGGATATTAACAAACATTATTAGTTGATCATCATTTTTAACAAATAAATAAAAAAATAAAAGATATAATCATTTCATGATATATTATTGCAATTATATTTTTATTCTTTTATTAATTTAAATGTTTAATTCCAATTATATATACTATTAGATTCCAAGTAGCTTAGGTATAAAACTAATGGGATCAAGAGTCCATATCTTTACTGCTATTGCTTGGATGATGTGGAGGACCTATACAACAGCAGAAGTACACTCAGGATATGAAATTCCATTTTCTCCTGTGAGAGTATTTCCACTTTCAGGTATATTTCAAAAATATTGTCTATTTTATCAAATAGATAACTTTTTTTTATCAATTAAAATAAATGAAATCAAAATTTTTATTTTTTTTGTAAATGAATATATTAGGAAGTTCATATTTTCACAATTTCCACCATTCTCATAATGCAGGAGCTTATGGCTCATACTTTTTATTTTGGGACCACTTTATGAAAGTGGATAGAGATTTCTAAAAGTTTAGATACACTGAAAATGTGAAAGAAATAGAAAAAGAAAATTTACAACAAAAAAAAGGAATTAATCAAGATTCAACTCCAAATAAAAAGGTTGAGTGATTTGACGAACTAACTAACTAAATAACTTGTTTTATCAAACATAATTTAAAGATAATATGTTTTTAGTATTTTTTTATTCAGGTAATTATTACTGGTAGCTAATTTAATTAATTAAATAAATTGAGTGTTTTTCTTATTTAATTAAAAAAAAATATTTTGACATAAAAGCTTAATAATATAGATAATTTTTGAATTAATTGGCTAAAAAAGATTTAAAATTGTCTATTTTAATTGTAAAATAACTTATTTAGTCTACATGAGATTTAAAAACATATTTTATAATTTATCAATATAGTATATATTTCTAAAGTTATTTAAATTTTTAAATATCAATCATAATAATTATAATATAATTACATTAGTTCTTAAAAAGCTCTTTTCATTCACATTATAGAAATTCATTATTTCTGACTCTCTTTTTATTGATTTTATCAAAAATAATGTTTATTTTTTAGAATTAAAGTAATGTAAATTTGTTCAATTTTTGTTAGTAGAACCTTATTTTTCCTTTATGAAAAATGTAAATGATTATAAATTTAATTAAAAAGGGAAGAAGATAAGTTAATTAAGCAATATAAAAAGATATGATATATTTATTAAAGTTTATTTTAAGGTAAATAATTTAAAAATATGAAGTTACTTAAAGCTAAATTTATTATTGTTATTTAATTTTATTATCTTGGCCTATGTAGAAAACAAAAATTCTATATAAAGCCAAAAGAGAAATGATTTAATAATTTTAGTTGAAAAAAACATCTATTATTTTTGATCAAACAAGTGTTAAATTTATAAGCTTTTTGAGTGATTTTACTCAAGATATTAATTTAATATTAGAAAATAAATTCTTGAATCTAAACAAATACTGATTTTTTTTTCTTAAATTAATTTGTCCCAAGAAGTAAAAAATTTTGTTTGAAAGTTAAGTGAAATATGTTAATTAATTTCAAAATTTTATTTATTCACATTTCTTCACATACCATAAATTTTCTTTAATAATAAATAGGAAAGATGATACTTAAAAAACACAACTCTTTTGTTATGTAATTTCGTTTAGAAATATTTAAATTTTGAAAATGAAGATAAAAAAATAGAATTTACAATTGATATAATTATTAATACAATAATTTTGTATAAAATATATTATTATAATTTAAAGATCAAATTAAGGTTATTTTAGAAAATTGAATAAATAAATAAATTTAGCAGTTTGATGAGGTATTTTTTAGATGACTAGAAAATAATGTTTGTTTGTTTTGTTATATTTTGATAATAGGTTCGATTTGTGTTCAAGATTACATTAGTATTTTGAATGCGTTTGTTATTAATAATTTATCTATTTTATCTAAATAAATAAGTAAGTTACCTAACCAATTAATTAAATTTCATATAACAATACCTACACTACCTAAAATAATTAAACCAGCACCAACTATACTGGTCACAAATACTTCACTTTTTAGTACAAAAATATCAATTAAAAAAGAGAAAAGCACTTGTAAATACTTCATAGGAGATATTATAGAAGCTTTTTCAAGGGAAAGAGCTTTAGATTACAAAAGTTAAGCTACAAAGCCACTAAAAGACAAAATAAGCATTGTAATGCAGAATTTGAATGTGATTACAAAAGGTCTTTCACTGTCGGTAAGCAGAATTATCGAAGTGAAAAATATACTGATAAAATAATGATACTGCATATGCATAGCCCCATTACAATTGTATTTAGAAAGTTTTCTAATGACAATTGCAACTAGTGAAACAAAGAAGCTTCCTGCTAATCCATAAATTGTTCCAAGGAATTAATTTTTATCTTCAGAGCTTTCTGACTATCCAAACAAAAAAGCAGGTCTACATACTAATATTATACCGACAAAGGATAGCATACAGAATCCAACAGCTTTTTTAGATAATTGCTCACCCAAAAAAATTGCAGCTAAGAAGTTAGTCCAAATAGGACTTGTATTAACAAGGATAGAGCCATCAGAAATTGTCATCAATGTAAAGCAAGTAAAGACAAAAGTCATGTTTAGACCTCCAAGTAAGCCTCTAAGAGTGAGTAATTTAAAAACTTTAGATTAATCACTGTAAACTTCTATCTTATTTGTTTAGCAGTACATAGTATTAAATATAAAGCCTGTAATCATTCTCATATTGATTATTTGCATAGATGAGTACTCTCCTTTTAGCAATGTAACACAAAAATACATGGCTGTAAAGAAAATTTAGCTAGCTACAGCACAAAATATTGCAGTTTTCTTTTTATGGTTTTATTCAAAGTGTTAAAAAATGCCTTAGAGTTTAAAATTAAATAGATCAAGATTTTTCATTTGCCAAGATATTTTTTTTATGTTAAAAATTTATTTTTTATTTTTTAAATATAAGATCTTTTTTAAAGCTCAGGTTAGGATTTAATTAGTTGACAACATTGCATTTTCTTATTGATAAAATTAACTTATTTATTCAAATATTTAGATTAAATAAATACGTTGTATATTAATTCGGACCATATACCTATCTATATTATTAATTTAAATTTTGGTAATACGGCAATATGTTGATTAATTTAATTATTGATGAATTTATTTTTTGTATTACGGCACTATGGTGATAAATTAATTAATTAATTTATGTATCAATTTAATTGATCATAATACACAATATGTAATTACGTAAATACTATCAAATTAAATTTAATTTTGCACATACTAGAAGTTCATTAACTATTGGCACCAACTTAACTTTATTTTATTGGATAAAACCTCTTGTGTAAATCTCTGTTAAAATTAGCTTAAATTTGTGGAACTTTAACTTTGTTTACTTTTTATCTTTTTCGTAAGTAAATTCAAACACAAAAAATGGTTTTAACAAAATGTGTATACCTTTTAAATATAAATTTAGAGTAAAAGGTAGTTAATTTATCCTGTAGGAATGGATTAGTATATTGATTATTTAAGGAATATTTAAAAAAATCTACTTTATTAAAAATAAAAGAAAAATGTATTATTAGTGTTGGAATAGAAAGTAAGCTAATGGTTATTTTCAAAGCAATTTCAAATTAAATTGTAAACTAATAAAATATACATGCTAAAATAAATATTCACTCACCAAATAAGTAAATAAAATGATAAAAATAATTATATCAACAAAAAATATTGGAATTTTTTGCTTTGTTCATTTTAAATATTCATAAGAAATAAAGTAAAACGAACAAACTTTGTTGCGTACTAAAAAGAAATTAAAAGAATGTTATCATTCTATTTTCCAATGATGAACTATTTATAGATGTATATTATTATTATCATCTTAAATAAGTTGATCTGATCATGAAAGAAATTGTAAAACGAATTATTTTGTTTATTTTCTACCACATGAAAGTTTATTTTCTATTTGAATATAATTATGATAGCACAAATACAAAGAATTTGATCTCAGAATTTATCAAATTTTGTTAAATAAAATAATTTTTTTATTACTCAAAAAAATATAATTTATACAATAAAATGAAAATATAATTTAATATTAAGTTCTCTTTAATTTTATATATTTATTTTTGCTAAATTGAAATTTATAGTTATAATAAATAAGTAGATTTTTATTATTGAAATAATTTAATTTCTATCAAATAATAACTCCGATACTTCCAAAAATAATTAGAATAGCACCAATAACGCTTGTTAATATTATCTGATTTTTAAAAACAATAACATCTATTATAAATGATAGAAGTATTTATAGATATTTCATAGGAGTAATTATAGAAGCTTTTTCTAGAGAGAGAGCCTTTGATTGCAAAAGTTAAGCAGCAAATCCACATAAAGAAAGAATGGTAATTATGCAAAAAAATTTCATATTAAAAATAAAAGGTTTTTCATTGTTATTTATTAATAATATGGAAGTTAAAAATATGCAAATGATATAGCTGTACTACATATGCATAGCCCCGTTACATTTTAGTTGGTGAGAAAGCTTTCTCACAACTATTTAAACTGATGCAACAAATAAACTACCTGCAAGTCCATATAAAGTTCCTAATAATTAATTTTAGTTTTTTTAATTACTAGAATTATCAGCAAACAAGAAAGGTGGTCTGCTAACTAATATAATTCCCATAAATGATAAAGTGCAAAAGCCAATTGCTTTTTTAGATAACTATTCACCTAAAAAAATAGCAGCTAAAAAATTTGTCCAAATAGGATTAGTATTTACAATAATAGAGCCATCAGAAACACTCATCAGTGTAAAGCAAGTAAATACACAAATAACGTCCAAGCCACCCAGTATTCCTCTTAAAGTAAGTAGCTTAAAAATTTAACTCTTTTCGCTATAAATAGGCACTTAATTTACCTAGCAATATAATGAATTAAAAATAAATCCTATAATCATCCTCATATTAATTATATGAATTGAAGAGTATTTAGTTTTCAATAAAGAAACGCAGAAATACATTGCAGTGAAACATACTTAGCTCAATACTGCATAAAATATTGCTGCCCTCTTTTAGTGATTCTTTTCAAAATTCTAAAGTTTCTATTTTAATTTAGGAACAAAATTATTAAGATCTTGCATTTTAGTAAATCTTTTAAAATTTTAATTTAAAATTAAAATATTGAATGAAGCCAAACATCATCTTTATATTTATATTAAATTTTAATATAGATAAACATTTTTGAAAAATAGATAGTATTTTTTTATATTTCAAATTACATTATTTAAGAAAGTGTAAATATGCCTTTTAGTTTATAGTCATCTATTTTAAAACAGGTTTAAAATTAAACAAAATAAATTTCAAATTGTAAATGAAAAAGCATTATTTTCTCATAGAAAATTAAATAAATAATGAAATAGATCGGTCTACCAAAAAAATTTAAATTTTACACATAGCAAATTTATGTCGATTTTTTAATTTTTTATCCATAAATATATTTTATAAAAATAATATTATCAATTTTAAATATATTATTTAAATTAAGAAAATATATTACAGAAATAAAAAGAATTACTAGATATTTATTTTAATTTTTCTATTTATTTTTTTTTTTCCCTTTAAAGTTAGAATTTATATAATAAAGTTAAATAATTTCGAGAATTTATTTTTATGCATTGATTACAGATTATCTTATCAAAACAGGCATTTAATTATTCAATTCTTAATTAATTTGTAAGTTAATTATTAATTTAATTTTAACAAACCAAATCTCAGAATTTAATAAAATACAGATTTGATCTGCATGTATGTATGGGATCTTAAACACATATTTTAATAAAAAACAAATTAAATAAATGATGGTTAAATTTAATTCATAGAAAATAAGTATAAAAAATAAAATCAATTAATAAAAAATATTTTTATTTATTTATAGAATAAATATTCTCAGCGAATTCTATTGATAAATTTAATCATTTACTTAGAAATTTTGATAATAATAATTGAGATTATTAGTTAAATAAATTTTTGTTAGCTAAAAGCAAATTTTATCAGTATTTTTCATATTAATTAAAATTGTTGGATGGATCCTATTAAATTGCATAACTATGCTGAATAAAGATGCCATACTTATGGCTGCTAAGTATCCGCTTGCATGAGGGAAGCAAATAATCCATCAAAATGTAATTAATTGCTTGCTGTTTTATAAGAATGCATAGAAAAAGAAAAAAAATATGTGCTTGAAAATTACAAAAAGCCTTAAAAATAATGATTGATTGATCAGTCATGATAATATTAATTTTAAGAAAATCACAAGATAACCTTAAATAAAACTAATAAAAAGCTAAAAATATATGTATATATTAGTAGAATAAATTATATATCTGAATGCAATCATTTTAGATTTATATTTTTTTTGAATAATTCTTTTTTTGAATATTATTTTGCTCTTCTCCATTTCTCAAAAACAAATATTTTTTATTTTCTTGTCTACATGCAAAAAAGAAAGATTTTATGTAAATCTATCAAATAATACAATGTTAATAGAATAAATTTTGTTTTTAAGAGTTGATAGACAGACAAGAAGATTAAAAATTAAAAATATAAGGAATTAATTAGTTATTATTTAAAATAATTTATTAAAATATTATATATGTATTTTATAAATAAAAATATTTTAATAAAATATGAAAAAAAAATCATATTTTAGATTATTTAATTTTCATAAATAAACCGATAATTGAAAAATCCTTCTAAAACCTAAATTATTTTAAAACTAAAAGCAATAAAACAATTCTAATAATTCATTTTAAAGAGAGAGTGAGAGAGAGTAATACATCTTACTTCTAAATAATGTGCTTATTTATAAATTACAACTAAAATCTAATATTATCAGTTTTATTTATTCACTTAATATAAATAATATCATCAACAACAACTTATATTTAAACTCTAATTCATTTAAAGCAGAGTCTACACACAAATTAGCATAAATATAAGTTGATCTAAAATATAAAAATCTTGAGTGAGATACCTATTTTATTTACTAAAGGCATATAATATATCTTAATTACATATTAAATAAAGCTAAATTAGCTTAAAACAAACAGCTTCATTTTTGCATTTATAGAAAGTTTTAAATTCTTAAAATAAAAAATTTGAAATAATATATACATTTTATTCATAATATAACTTGTCATTTTTTTAAAGTAAATTTTGAAAAATTTTTCTGAATGTAAAAAATTTGTAATTATTGAAATTTTTATCAAATTATAAAAAATTAACGTAACAATTTAGTATGAAAATATAGTATTTATAATTTATAATTAATAAGATTACTTTAGAAAATTGAATAAAATAAATTTAGTAGTTTGATGAGGTATTTTTTAGATAGATGACTAGAATATATTATTTGTTAATTTTTTGTTTGTTTGTTTTTTTATTGTAATATTTTAAAATTTGGCTTAGCTTTTATTCAAAATTGCATTAATATTTTAAACGCATTTACTATTAGTGATTTGTCTATTCTATAATAAATAAAAGAAAACTGGCTAGTTAGTTAATAATCTATCACATAACAATACCTACACTCCCTAGTATAATTAGACCAGCACCAACCATACTGGTCATAAACATCTCACTTTTAAGAACAAAAATATCAATCATAAAAGAGAGAAGCACTTGTAGATACTTCATAGGAGATATTATAGAAGCTTTTTCAAGGGAAAGAGCTTTAGATTACAAAAGTTAAGCCACAAAGCCACTAAATGACAAAATAAGCATTATATAGCAGAATTTAAATGTAATTATAAAAGGTCTTTCACTGTCAGTAAGCAGGATTACAGAAGTGAAAATTATGCTGATAAAATAATGATATTGCATATGCATAGCCCCTTTACAGTTGTATTTAGAAAGTTTTCTAATAACAATTGCAACTAGTGAAACAAAGAGGCTTCCTGCTAATCCATAAATTGTTCCAAGAAATTAGTTTTAATCTTAAGAGCTTGTTGACTATCCAAACAAAAAAGCAGGTCTGCACACTAATATTATACCAAAAAAGGAAAGCATACAAAACCCAAAAGCTTTTTTAGATAATTGTTCGCCCAAAAAAATTGCAGCTAAGAAATTAGTCCAAATCGGACTCGTATTAACAAGGATAGAACCATCAGAAATAGTCATCAATGTAAAGCAAGTAAAAACAAAAGTCATGTTTAGACCTCCAAGTAAACCTCTAAGGGTGAGTAATTTAAAAACTTTAGATTAATCACTATAAACCTCAACCTTATTCGCAGAGCAATACAGAGTATTAAAAATAAAGCCAAGAATCATTCTCATATTGATTATTTGCATAGAAGAGTACTCTCCTTTCAGTAGGGTAACACAATAATACATAACTGTAAAGAAAACTTAGCTAGCTACTGCATATAATATGGCAGTTTTCTTTTTGTTGCTTTATTCAAGGTGTTCAAAGACATCTTAAAATTTTAAATAAAATTGATCAAGATTTTTCATTTGAGAGGATATGCTTTTATGTTAAAATTTATTTTATAAATTTATTTATTCTTTAAAATTTATTTATTCTATAAAATATTAGATATTTTTTAAAATATCATTATTTAATTAGCTGATAGCCTTGCGTTTTCTACTACTGATAAAATCAAATTATGAATTCAAATTTTTAAATTAAATACATATAATAGGTTATTAATTAAACTCATGGATTACGCCTGTCTATTTTAATTTTGGTATTACTTTTGTGGTAAATTTAAATATTGATGAATCTATTTTTGGTATTATGATACTTTGGTGATTAATTAATCAATTTACTTTATTATTAATTTATCGTAATACATAAAGTGCTAAAATAAAATTTAGTTTTGGACATATTTAATTTACATAATTATTTACCAGCTTAATTTAGCTTCAAATACTTCATATCATTACATAAAATATTTTTTGTCTATGTCATAAAATTGGCTTAAATATGTAGAGATAAAAATTAGTTTATTTTTTACATCTATTTCGAAGATAAATAAAAATTAAAAATATAGTTTCAATAACCTTTTTAAATTAAATTTAGATTAATATGTAATTATGTTATGATAAGAGAATCAATCAATCAATTATCATATAGAAAATTTAAAAATTTACTTTATTAAAATAAAAGGCAAATATATTATTTGCGTTGAAATAGAAAGTAAATTTGTGGTTATTTTTAAAATAATTTAAAAGTAAATAGAAAAAATATTTATACTAACTAGCTAAAATAAGTAAGTATTCATTTGCCAAAAAAGTAAATAAATGATAAAAATAAATTATATCAACAACAAACTATGGAATTTTTTATCTATTAAATATAAATAAATAAATATTCAAAAGTGACTAACTAATTGAAAGGAACAAAATTTATTGCATATTAAAAAAAAATTAAAAAAATGTTATCATTAAATATAATGATGAAGTATTTATATATATTTAGATCGATTTAATTAAGTTAATCAGATAAAGAAATTTATTATAAAACAAATTAATTTTATTATTTTCTACCACTTGAAAGTTTAATTTGAAATTAATATCATTAAAATAGCAGAAATACAAAGAATTTATCCAATTAAATATATGAATCTAAATTTAGTTTTAGATCTAACATGAATTTTCTATTTTTATTTACTAGATTAAAGTTTCTATTTAAAAAGATAAATAGATTTTTATTATTTATTAAATTATTTCAGGTTAATTTTAAATTTTATGAAATAATAACTCCGATACTTTCAAAAATAATTATAATAGAACCAATAGCTCTTGTTAATATAACCTGATTTTTAAAAACCATAACTTCTATTAATAAGGATATTTTAGCTATTCCATAGGGGAGTTAAACATCAAAACATCACTATAGCTGTACTTCATATGCATAGCTCTGTTATATTTAGTTAGTGAGAAAGCTTTCTAACAACAATTTAAACTGGTACAACAAATAAATTACTGCAAGTTCATTTAAAGTTTCTAATAATTAATTCTAGTTTATTTAATATTCAGTATTATCAGAAAATAAGAAAGGAGGTCTACTAACTAACTAATATAATTCTCATAAATGATAAAGTGCAAAATCCAATTGCTTTTTTAGATAACTATTCACCAAAAGAAATAGCAGCTAGAAAATTTGTCCAAATAGGATTAGTATTTGCAAATTAATTTAGCCATCAGAAAAGCTCATTAGTTTAAAGTAAGTTAACATATAAATAACACGCAAGCCAGGTTGTATTGCACTTTAAGTAACAAGCTTAAAAATATAACTTTTTTCGCTATAAATAGGTACCTAATTTACCTAGCAATACAATGAATTTAAAATAAATCCTATAATTATTTGAATTGAAGAGTATTTAGTTTTTACTAAGGAAAAGAAGAAATGCATTAATATGAAAGATTCTATGCTCAATAACGCATAGAAAATTACAGCCCTCTTTGAGTAATTTTTTTCAAAATTAAAAAGTTTCTATTTTAATTAAGGAGCAATATTATAAAATAAATATGATATTTTAGTAAATCTTTTAAAATTTTAATTTAAAATTAAAATATTGAATGAAGTCAAATATGATCTTTATATTTGTACAAAATTTTAATATTAATATTTAATTTGAAAAATAGATAATATTTTTTATATTTTTAATTTTAAGAATGCTTAAATGTGTATTTTATTTAGCTTATATTTTAAAACATATTTAAAATTAAATCTATCTTTTAAAATTGTAAAATTAAAAGCATTATTTTCTAACAGAACATTAAATAAGCTATGAAATATATAAGTCTATCAAATAAATTTGTTTTAGAAAATACAAAATTATATCTTTTTTTGAATATTTATGATAAATGTATTATTTAAATTGACAATATATTATACAGAAAATATACTAATTAATTACTTGATATTTATTTTTATATTTAGATATTCTTTTTTCTTAAAACTAGAAAATTAATCAATAAACTTAAAATTTTTTGATAATTTATTTTTTATTCCATTATTAATTAAATATTTCTCTTATGAAAATATATAATTAATTCTTAATTAGTTTGTATGTATGTAAGCCAATAATTAATTTAATTTTAACTAAGTAAGTCTATTATAAGTTAGATAAAACACAATCTTAATATATATGCATGTATTTTATATAGTATTGTTTACACATATTTTTATACCAAAATAAATTAATAAATAAATGATGGTTATATTTTAAATTTATTGCTTAGAAAATTAGAATAAAAAATAAAATCAATAAATAAAAAAATATTTTATTTATTTATAGAAAAAATATTCTCAGCAAATTCTATTGATAAATTTAATTTTTTACTTAGAAATTTTATAATAATTATTAATTAAATAAATTTGTGTTAGTTAATTAAGTGTAAATTTTATCAGTATTTTTAATATAAACTAAAATTGTTCGATGGATCCTATTAAATTGCATAACTATGCTGAATAAAGATGCCATACTTATGGTTGCTAAGTATCCGCTTGCATGAGGGAAGCAAATAATCCATCAAAATGTAACTAATTGCTTGCTGTTTTATAAGAATGCATAGAAAAAGAAAAAAAATATGTGCTTGAAAATTACAAAAAACCCTAAAAATAATGATTGATTGGCTATTTGACTGATCAATCATGATAAGATTATTTTTAAAGAAAATCACCAAATATCCTAAATTTAGCAAATAAAAAGCTAAAAATATATGTATATATTAGTAGTGTAACTTATATATTAGAATGTAATCGTTTTAGATTTAGATTTTTTGAAGAATTCTTATTTTAACCCGAATATTTCTATTCTTCATTTTTCAAAAATAAATAGATATTTTTTATTTACTTGTCTACATACAAAAAAGAAAGGTCTTATGTGCTATAGAAATTCTATCAAATAATACAATATTAATAGAAGAAATTTAGTTTTTAAGAGTTCATAGATAGATAAACATATAGACAACAAGATAGAAATTAAAAATTAAAAATATATAAAAGGGGTTAATTATTATTTAAAATAATTTCTTAAAATGTGATTTTTATAACTCTCACAAAAATTTTTTTGGTATTTTCATTTCCTAAAACTTAGCAACCCCTGTTTAGATAAATAACTTAATCTAATTTTAAAAATGTTCAAAGATAAAATCTTACTTAAGTTTTCAAATATAAAAAACAAGCATTAAAATACTATTAAATAAGCTATAATTAAATGTATTAGAACTAAATATATATTTATCTATATTAAGTTATAACTTAATTTTCAACATCTTTAGCGAATTGATTGATTAATTTATTCATTCATTCATTATGCTCAAAAGTATAAATCCTGATATATTCTAATTTGGCTTATATTTAGTGAATTTGTTAATTTATATAAAGTTATACCCTATAATAAGATAATCAATTTTTAATTAAGCAATTATTAAAGTTAAATACTTTTGGAAAGAGTGTTATCATCTTCATCATCTTGAATGTCGTTTTAAGGAGAAAAGAATGAGTATGTAATTAACGATGAAAATATGCATCTAGGATGAAAGAAATTATTGTAAAATGACTCTTAGCACAAGTTAGTAAAGCTTAAATGCCCTACTCTACCTTAAAAAAAATTATCAAAAATGTACAGAGTTTTCTAAAGAGAAAATTCTTAAACAGCCCATTCAACTTCATTGATATGAGAATTATTTTCAAAAATAAAATAGACACCAGCCCCTTTTTATCCTGTGAATTTTACTTTATTTACAATATTGGAGATTGATAAATCAGGAATAACAGAACAATTTTGCATTAAATTTATGTTGATCTGATGAGCTCTAATATTTTTCAGGTCAATTAATTTTGATTTAAAGAAATTTTATCTTTTTTCTTCACATAGTATTTCATAACAAGTACCACAAAGATCTGTACCATCATAACTATCATGAGATAACAAATTTAAATATTCTATTGATATATCTAATTATTCTACATCTATTTATAAATTTATTTCATTTAGAAAGTTTATTAAGCTAGTATATTCATTAGTCGAATTGTCAAATTAATACATGGAGCATTCGGAATTTAGATGATAAAGTTTCTATGACTCTATGAATTTTATTCTCTCAAACGATAATCTGCTTTTAGTTAAACACTCTCTTAAGTAGTGAAAATCTATTGAGATACTAAATTTGTTGTTTTTTAATACCATATTTATCACCAATTAATTTAGTTTGTCTAAGATAGCTTTGAATTTGTTTTAAGTTGCTTTGCAATATTTAGGTCTCTCATATTTTTCATTTTCTAAAATAGTCCTTAATATTGGATTAAGATTTTAATTAAATAATATCTCTTCAAAATGCTGTTATTACTATTATAAATTTTTAAATTTAGCTTCTTCTCTTTTTATTGGATATTTTAAGGATTATTTAACTTATGATCTAACGATTGTATCTATTTTTTCTCTCTAAATTTCTTTTTCTCTCTTTATTTCTTTTTCTCTCTTTTTTTATTCTTTTCTCTTTATTTCTTTTTCTTTTTCATTTTCTTCTTGCTCATTTTCTTCTTCGAGTTTATTTTCTATTTTTTTTTGTTCATTTTCGACTTCTTCTAATTCTTCTTAAATTTCTAAATTCTTTTGAAAGTTCAAATAATCAATTATTGAGAATAGATCTTAGTAAGCCTCTATATTGAGCTATTTGTAAATAGTAGCGAGCTTTTGAGTCAATAGCTAATACTCTAAGGAAGATGCGTGAAGAACAAAGTGATCAGATAGAGCATTTTCACTTTCAATTAGAAGTTGTTAATGGTCTAAAGTAAATTTTATATTTTATCCTTATTCAAATATAGTTTGAATAGCTTGAAATGTATCCATTTATTTATTTATTTATTTATTTATTTATTTATTTATTTATTTATTCGAAATAAGAAATAATAATGATTCTATTAATTCTTATTAATTCAAATATGATTAATAAATTGCTTATTTGATCTTTTTGTTATTTTTAATTTATTGAATTCTGATTTAGATAAATGAGCGGTATTAATTTTAAAATATATCTATCTAAATACTGAAATAGTGAAAATAAATATGAATAATTAACTAAAATCTCAGTATTAATTTTATCCTTTATACAAATAAAGTTTAATTGAGTTTCTATTGCGTCTTTTTTCTCAAAAGTTAATTTGTTTTCGGTTTTTTTTAAGTAATTTAGGTAAAATAGCAAAAATAATAATTAAAAATGTTAAAAATACTTGCTTTTTAGTGACAAAAATAATAATTAAATCTTAAACAATACAAAATTATAAATTTGATTAAAATTGATTTTGATCTTTTATTTTTATGTAAGGATTTCTAGTGAGCAATATTGAAAACTTTTAGAAAATAGACTTCAAAAGTAGAGGTCTTAAATTATTCTCAAAGGACTAATATTTAAATACTGGCCTAGTTTATATGAGCATATTGCTTAGAGTATGATGATAAACCTATAATTGAGTAGAATCTGAAACTCCTTGAAAATTGAAGCTCTGCCTTAATAGTTTAAGCAGTCTTTAAAAGAGTATGAAATTTGAGATGAAAATATGTTTGAACTAACAAAGCTATCAATTATTGTATGTCTAGATTAATTAAGAAAATACACATGACCTATTCTACCTTAAAAACAATGTTCCAGCAGATAAATTGTAGAAGGAAGCGAATATAGTTCAACATCCCATTCTACAATGTTGATGTGAGAGTTATTTTTAAAAACAAAATTAACTCCAAAACCTTATTAACCTTAAATTCTTACTTTGTTAATTGTGTGGTGCACAATTATATCGTGGAATATAGGTATATCCTAAATTAAGTAAATATTTAATTTCTAAGTCTTAATATTTTTGAGATCAAATACTCTTTGTGAAAAGTAGTCACTTCCTTTAATTTCTTTTCTTTCTATATCAAAGCAAGTATAGCAAAACCAATTAGACTCTTGTGGATGGTATTTTATATTTTAACATTCAATCACCACATCCAAATTTTCTAGGTGGAGTGCTAAATTTCTTCTTTCAATCAAACTTATTAGAAATGAATATTTATTAGAATTATTAATAAACTAATTTTCAACTTAAGTATAATCAAAAACATGATAAAGCCTTTGTGATTCTATAAACTTAATATTTTTAAAGCTTACAATATCTTTTGTTAAGAATTCTCTAAAATGTTAAAAATCTATTGTTGTATTAAAAGTTATCTCTTTAGTCAGCAAATTCATAATTAAGTTGCTTAAATTGTTTAAGGCTTCTTGAAGTATATTCTCATCAGAGTTTTAATAAATGTCATATGAAAAATCATCATTTTATGATATATTTTTTATTTATTTTTTACTTTCTAGCACACTTTTAAAATGGCATTAGTCAAATTTTACTTCACCTTCTTCAGTTTAAAGGTTATATTGATCAATTTTAAGTTATTCAAAATTTTCTTAAAGTCCGTAAGGTAATAGTTGATTATCTGCTTCCTCTTAGTCTACTTTGTATTGTTGATTATTAAAATTCAATTTACTAATAGCGAAAGATATTTCTTGATAACCCTTTTTAATTATTTATTAGTAAAATTAGGCTAGCTTTTAGACTATTAGCTGATACTCTTATGTAAATACATTTACAACTAGACAATCATATTAAATATTTTCAGCAGTTATAGTTAGTTATTAAGGATTTGATGCAAATTGCACAATAAATCCTTTTTCGAATATATCATTAATAGAAGATAAAACAGAATGCATTTATTTTTATTTAATACTTTTTTATTAATTGTTAACTAATTTTTTAGATTTACTAATAATATAGCTTAATAAAATTGATTAGCGGCGTTTTTATTTAATTTTTATAAGATGTTGTCAGAATTAACCAGCTTCTTAAGATATACTGCAATTTTTTTTCTTTGAAATGATAGAAATCTAATTTTTGAATGCAAAAATCTGAATATTATTTATTTTGAAATAAAAATAAATTAAATTATTTATTAATTATAATTATACTATAATACATATATATATATTAAATTTTTTAATAAATAAATAAAAAAATATATTTCATAAAAAGTGGAATACAAACCATTCCCAAAATTACAAAACTAAAACAGAAAAATCTACTTATAAACGTTATTCTTATAAAATTAAAGAACATTAACAACTAGAATTTTTTCAAATAGGACTAAATAAATTACTGACCATCTCTAATTCTTACTATATATATTTTTAAGCGTTTGTTTTAAATACAAATATTAAGTTTAAATAGTGAATGTTAAATTAATTTTTCTGTGATATCTCTTCATAAAACCAAATTATAAATTTATATTTGATAATTAATTCATTATTATATTTATTTGTTCTTTTTATCCATTTATAATTAATTGATAAATTAATCAAATTTAATAAATTGCTATTCAATATTTTTGAAAAATAAATAAATGATATAATAGATTAAAAAATATAACTAATTAGAAGAAGTAATTATTAATTTTTATATTAATATCCTTTAAATTTATTTTAATTTATAAAAAAAGTTTTTAAGCTCTTCACTATTATCTCATTAGATTCTCCATCTTCATCTGAGGTATATTTAATTAAAAGATATTCTTTTTTTTATTATTAATATTTTTTGTATATTTAATTTTCAATTTATTTAAATAAATAATTTTTATTATAGAAATTATCATTATTATTTAATGATTTTTATTAAAACAAAAATTTTTTAGCTATTTTAACTTAATTTTCATTTAAATTTTTAATTAATTATTTATTATTCATTTTTTATTATTTGATACTTTTTCTTCATTTTTTGCTATTAAAATTTACACTTAATAAAAGCAGTTTATTTGATTTGCATTGTAATATTTTTAATTATAAAAGTTAATTTAAAACATTAAAGCTCTTTTAATTTATTTGATTTGTTTACCTTTTTATTTTTATTATAATTTCTTATTTTTTGATTCTTTGTTAATTTTATTTATTATTAATTAATCTTATTATTTCATATTTTTTTTCATTTTTCCCTCCTAATTAACTACAGTGAAATGCCGCCTTTTTAATTTATAAAAGGCGAAATGTAATATATCTTAATAACTTGATATAAAGCTAAATTAGCTTAAATTAGCTTTACTTTTGAGTTAATTGAAAGCTTTGAATTCAGAAAATGTCAAATTTGAAATTATATATACCACATATTCTTATAACATATCATTTTTTTTTTAAAATATAAATTTTGAAAACTTATGATGGAAAAAAACACATAAAAAAATTTTTAATTTTAATTTTATAAAATATAAAAACTGGTATATTAAACTCGCTTTTTGTAAATTTGTATGGCAACTTACTCTATTTAATGATATATTTTTTCTTCAATATTTAAAAAGTAACAAATTAAATTGGTGCAAAATGGGTGCATCAGGCTTAGGTTCAGCTTTAGCAAAATGCATTAATCTCTCAAATTTAACACTTGACCTTAAGTAAAAACAGTTTATTTGTTTTGGATTGTGATATTTTTAATTATAAAAACTAATTAAAAACAATAAAGCTCTTTTTTCTTTTTCTTTTTATCGTGCTTGCTGTTTTGTTTTTTCTTTGTTAATTAAGCTCATCATTTATTTTATTCATTTGCTTTTATTATTAATTAATTTTATTATTTCATATTTTTTCTTCATTTTTTCCTTCTAATTAACTATTTAATGATATATTTTTTCTTCAATATTTAAAAAGTTAAAATTATATTGGTGATGAAGGTGCATCAGGCTTAGGTTCAGCTTTAGCAAAATGCATTAATCTCTCAAATTTGACACTTAACCTTTTGTAAAAACAGTTTATTTGTTTTGGATTGTGATATTTTTAATTATAAAAACTAATTAAAAACAATAAAGCTCTTTTTTCTTTTTCTTTTTATCGTGCTTGCTGTTTTGTTAATTAAGCTCATCATTTATTTTATTCATTTGCTTTTATTATTAATTAATTTTATTATTTCATATTTTTTCTTCATTTTTTCCTTCTAATTAACTATTTAATGATATATTTTTTCTTCAATATTTAAAAAGTAAAAATTAAATTGGTGAAATAGGTGCATCAGGCTTAGGTTCAGCTTTAGCAAAATGCATTAATCTCTCAAATTTAACACTTGACCTTTGGTAAAAACAGTTTATTTGTTTTGGATTGTGATATTTTTAATTATAAAAACTAATTAAAAACAATAAAGCTCTTTTTTCTTTTTCTTTTTATCGTGCTTGCTGTTTTGTTTTTTCTTTGTTAATTAAGCTCATCATTTATTTTATTCATTTGCTTTTATTATTAATTAATTTTATTATTTCATATTTTTTCTTCATTTTTTCCTTCTAATTAACTATTTAATCATATATTTTTTCTTCAATATTTAAAAAGGTAAAATTAAATTGGTGATGAAGGTGCATCAGGCTTAGGTTCAGCTTTAGCAAAATGCATTAATCTCTCAAATTTGACACTTAACCTTAAGTAAAAACAGTTTATTTGTTTTGGATTGTGATATTTTTAATTATAAAAACTAATTAAAAACAATAAAGCTCTTTTTTCTTTTTCTTTTTATCGTGCTTGCTGTTTTGTTAATTAAGCTCATCATTTATTTTATTCATTTGCTTTTATTATTAATTAATTTTATTATTTCATATTTTTTCTTCATTTTTTCCTTCTAATTAACTATTTAATGATATATTTTTTCTTCAATATTTAAAAAGTAACAATTAAATTGGTGATGAAGGTGCATCAGGCTTAGGTTCAGC